AAGGTGAGATACAAACCAAGACTGTCTTCACATATTTTTCTACTTAACTTGAACAAAATTTGATAATACACAATTGACTAAAATTTGTTTCTAAATCTCATAAATGAAAAGATCGAAGATTATCTTCATATTACTTTTCCAAGTATAATACATTAAATATGGAATAAAATGTCTTTGCAGCTATAAAAGATGGTGCTAACATAAAAGGGTATACTTCCTGGTCTCTGTTGGATCAGTTTGAATGGGAGAAAGGCTATTCAAATAGATATGGATTCTACTATGTCGAATTTAACAACAGAAATAAGCCTCGGTACCCAAAAGCTTCAGTTCAATATTATAAGAAGATTGTCACTGCCAATGGCTTTCCCAATCCGAGAGAGGTAGGATTAACCCACGTCACTCATTCTCGGTTTTAGAAGACCTGGGCAGCTGGGCACAGCTTGGCAAGCACATCCCCCCTTTCCTCCATGAAAAAGAACAGGGGTGTGTGGGGCATGGCCTCTCGTCTCTGACCCTACCTCCCACACCTCTTTGCTCAATCCTAAAGTGCAGAACATTAAGGGCAGACTATGCTAATGTAGGAGTCTTGTTTGCTTTAGGTTGTATTAGTCAATAAAGACTTTAAGTCAAATGTTCTTCTAGATGTTAATAAATATTGTGAATTCTTTAAGAGACAAAAAGTCAAGTAAGTCATAGGTTCACTTCTTTTCCCACCAAATGGCAGTCATACAGATGCACTGGTTCCAAAATGAGATTTTATGTTGCTGTATCTAATGACAGGGAATAGAAAATGTAATTTAGAATGTCTTAATAAAAGTAATTTTTATAAATTTCACTTAGTTATTAACATTCTTTTAGGGTGACCCCAGGGAGATGTGGAAGCAGTGACTGATAGCTATCAGGCATTCTCTAGTTTTGCATTACTAGGAAAGCACTAGATTATAAATTCCTTAAGAATAAAAAAAAAAAAAAATAAAAAAAAGAATAACGACTGCAGCCGAAACCGGTTTGGCTCAGTGGTAGAGCATCGGTCTGCGGACTGAAAGGTCCCAGGTTCGATTCCGGTCAAGGGCATGTACATTGGTTGTGGGCACATCCCTGGTAGGAGGTGTGCAAGAGGCAGCTGGTCGATGTTTCTCTCTCATCGACGTTTCTAGCTCTCTATCCCTCTCCCGTCCTCTCTGCAAAAAAAAAAAAATCAATAAAATATATATTAAAAAGAAAAATAACAACTGCAGATGAAACTGGTTTGGCTCAGTGGATAGAGTGTTGGTCTGTGGACTGAAGGGTCCCAGGTTCAATTCCAGTCAAGGGCATATACCTTGGTTGCGGGCACATCCCCGGATGGGAGTGTGCAGGAGGCAGCTGGTCGATGTTTCTCTTTCATCGATGTTTCTAGCTCTCTATCCCTCTCCCTTCCTCTCTGTAAAAAATCAATAAAATATAGAATAAAAAATAAAAAAGAATGACTGTGTTTTGACCCCTCCCTGACACAATTAGGTATTTAATTAATGTTAACTAATTTAATCTACAAGCAGATTAAAAATGATATTAATTACCAATGGCTTTTTATTAGGTGGAAAGTTGGTACTTCAAAGCCTTGGAAACTTGCTCTATCAACAATCAGATGCTTGCTGCAGGTAAGTATATTTTAACACTTCCCTTTGAGAATTACACTACATAATTATATAGATAATAACATTGCCAAAATCTCAAAATGTAGACCTACCCTATGTCAGTCTTCCAAACCACATAATTAAAAAATAATTTACTGAGACAATTACAAATGTCTATTTTATAAGCATTTAAAATATTTTAAAAACTTACCAGAAAGAGAAATATATCCACTTTATTCTTATTCTCCCTGAATCATATTATAAACTTATAAATCTGTAAGTTTTGTTATAGTAAGCTTTGTGGAAAGAGGGGGAAATTCAACCATTATACCAAATGAATTAAAGAAAAGTCAAAGAACACTATTTATTTTATTCACTCATTCGGAAAGTAATTGTTAAGTACTCACTTTTAGGAAAGGGGTGTTTTAACCTATGGGGATACAGCAATGAACAAAAAAAGGTCCCTGGCCTTATAAAAGGCTTTTTTTCTTTATGTTTTTATTGACTTCAGAGAGTGGAAAGGAGAGGGAGATAGAAACATCAATGAGAAAGAATCATTGATCAGCTGCCTCCTGCATGCCTCCTACTGGGAAATGAGCCTGCAACCCAGAGATGTGCCCTCACAGGGAATTGAACTGTGACCTCTTGGTTCATGGGTTGATGCTCAACCACTGAACCACACTGGCTGGGCAGAAGGCATCATTTCTTATTTTAAAAGCTCAGAGAGGTAGAATAATAAGAAATGCCAACACATGTTATTTTTTATTTGAATTTTGTCATCTTTTTACAAGGGCAGAGAAATACACTTTCTGGTTTTTGAAAATATATATTTTTTTATTTTTATTGATTTTAGAGATGAAGAAGAGAGACAAAAACATTAATAATGAGAGAAAATCATTGACTGGCTGCCTCCTGCACACCCCATCCTGGGGATTGAGCCACTCAGGCATGTGCCCTCACCGAGAATTGAACCATGACATCCTGGTTCATAGGTCAATGCTCAACCACTGATCCACATTAGCCACGCTAAAGATGCGTTTTGATGAATACATCTTTAATGTGGTATCAGAGATGGAAAGTGCTAGACAAAACCCTACCAATTCAGCTATTTTTGTAGGCCAATATACCACTGTGCCCACCCCCCTTCCCACATCTAAATAACCAGGCAATATTAAGGATGCATATTCCATTAAACTAAAGTAAATTTTTATCATGTACAGACATGATGGAGAATTTGTTGGGCTTATAAGCTCTTTAAGAGCAGGGCCTGTGCCTTATTCACCTTGGTAACCAGGGTGACTGCATAAAATCTAAAGGCAGGTATAATATCAATGTCCACTACTATATTCACATACATGAAATATGCTTAACATTTAACTCTTCAGGAGTAACTATGTTAACTACATCGCAATAAAGAAACTCCTATACCTTTTAAGATATACAGTAACATCTTTGAAAGGCTGGAAATGTTTCCTAAGGATTTTTCTTTCACAAATTCCCCCAGTGAAAATTATAAAACCATGGGCTATAGCTGCTAATATTCTGAGATTAATTATGGTTAGCACAAGGATTAATACGCACTTAAGACTTTATTACAATACTTATGGAAGAATCAAATTTAGGCATTCTTTATCCTGTTTTCTGAAATATTTTCCAAATACCTCACATAATCTTTTATAACATTTAATTCTTTAATAGCAAGTGAGAATAATTAGAAAGTGTGATGCCATTTTCCAAGTTTTTCAAGTATAGATAAACTTTCAGGATGAAACTATACTTGCTAAAATGATCACATTCCCATTTTGGTGGTGTTCCATTTCAGAGCCTTTGCTAAGCCATATGCAGATGGTGATGGAGATCGTGGTGCCCACAGTCTGCGCCCTCTGTGTGCTAATTGCTGCAGTTCTCCTCATGATCCTCCTGCGGAGTCAGAGCTGAGCCAGGGCTACTCGTTTTTGCAGCTTCATCTTTCAGTAATCTTCTGGCTCTTCCTCCATTTTCTGCTTCAAAAATTTACATTATCTCTATTTCAGGCTTTATAGTAATTTTTTTCTTTTTGCTTTTTTGGGCTTATGCTGGGATTTAAGAATTAAAAAATAAAAAATTAGCATTTAATAAGTAAAATAAAAATCACCTGTCATCTTACCCTTCTCAAAATTAAAGTTAGTATTTTGCTGTCTAATATGCAAAGTTAGTATTTTGCTGTCTATTTTCTTTTTTTTAACCTATTTTCATTTTGCAAAAAGAGATCACAGTGTACAAACTGTTTTATAACTTGATTTTATTTTTAAGCCTGTCCAGAAACATAACTTCAATGTAGAAATGAATGCCATCTAAGCATTGTCTTACACACGATGGGTAGTCAATCACCTATAGGTAACAATCCTTTCAGTTTATAAATCCTATAAGGCAACCAGGGAAAAGCTTAGGTGGGCACCAAGCAAATGAACACATACACTTTCCTAATTTCAATATCTCAATGAAATATAATTAATTTACATATCTTTTATTTAACTAGTTATTTTGCTTTTTAAAATTAGGATTTATTTTATTCTTAACTATGATAAAATTAATCTCCATTTATCTGAGGACAAAACATGGCTTAAGAAGGCATAATATCAGGCATTTTACTAATTATCTGATTACTCATTATTTAATATTGTTTCTGAAACACAAAAACAGCAAGAGAGTAGGAATGCTATTCCATTAATTCTTTTTTTAAAATTTATTGTTTAAGGTATAACAAATAGTACATATGTCTCCTTTTTCCCCCCACCCATTGATCCCCACCCTATTAATTCTTTTGGTTGGTTAATACTTTTTCAAATTAAACATTTTTAAAATCGGGTTTAGTCTTACAATTGGGCTGGGATAAAATTGCTTTTAACAATCTTTGTTTTCAATGTCAAACGATGTACCTGTCCAGTGTTTTTCTCTTCCATTAATATTTTTTAAATCAAACTCTCTTTCTATTTACTCTATATCCATCTTTAAGGTACAACAATATTTCCACTAAAAAAAATTGTTTTTGTTTCTCTGGTTTTAGCATTAAACTGACCTAGTAGGTTGACTACAGAAAGTAGACAGGGTCTACGGCCATACCACCCTGAACACGCCTGATCTCATCTGATCTCGGAAGCTAAGCAGGGTCGGGCCTGGTTAGTATTTGGATGGGAGAAAGTAGACAGGAAATTAAAGACTTACACTGCTCAGTAGCATTTGGTAAGTTTTATATGATTACTGATAAGTAATCTATATCCCTAATGTATTAAGTCAGCATTTATGTTGTAGGAAAAAAAAAATAAGGTATTTAACACATTACAAAGCATTCAGAGAGAACAAAAAGTGAACATATTACCTGATAGAGGTGCCCATCAGCACACTTCACTTGAAATGCACCTGGCTGCAGGTAACCATGGTAGTAAAGGATATCCTTTCTTCCAGGCTACTGTTTAATATTGATTCAGAAAAATCTGAAACTAGATAGTGAAATCAGAATTGTTTACACCCCGCTGACTTTTCTACCATGTATACTGCTGAATTTTACAATAATAGAGGTGTAGACTGAATGATGTGTCTTCTACTTTAAGAAAATTTGTTAGACAAAAAGCAGCAAGAACAATTCCTTTAAGTAGTAAACACTCTTGGTGTATTGAACACATGACTAAACAAATTAAAATATACCGTAAAGCAGATTTTTTTAAAATTATACATTTTTAATTTGGTTTATTTGTGCCTTATCCACTACAGTTAAATAATTTTTCCCCATCTTAAACATGTATCTCAGAAAAAAATATTCTACCTATTATTTGTAGTCTTAGGGTTAGACACATATCTGTTTTTTCCTCCTGAAGTCTGTTGTATTTCAAAATAAATGTACAATTAACATTTAGATGAGATTATGTGCACTTTCTTATGGGTCAACATTTTGGTTTCCATATTCTCACCATTATCACCAATCATTTCCTAAACATCTTCTGGGTGAGCAGCACTCTACTGGACACCGTCTTTTTCCCCCATTAGCTCCAAATCATTATTCTCTCTTCCCATGGCAGATAAAGGTACTTTTCTCTCTTACATCTTCCTGCTTTTGATATCAACTGTTCTACTCAAGAGTATCATACCACTAGATATCTTGAAAAACTAGTATTCAACCAAAGTGTTCAGTCTAATAAAATAGAAAGTCTAACTTCTTAATTACATGTGACCTTTAGGAAAAAAATCAGCCGAAACCGGTTTAGCTCAATGGATAGAGCGTCGGCTTGAGGACTGAAAGGTCCCAGGTTCAATTCCGGTCAAGGGCATGTACCTTGGTTGTGGGCATATCCCCAGTAGGGGGTGTGCAAGAGGCAGCTGATTGATGACTCTCTCTCATCGATATTTCTAACTCTCTATCTCTCTCCCTTCCTCTCTGTACAAAATCAATAAAATATATTTAAAAAAAGAAAAAAAATCATAACTGGTCTTTAATATTTATAATCAGGGCTTTGTTTGAATGTAAATGAGGTCCTCCTTCAATAGTGGGTTTTGTTTTGGGCCAAAGGTCACTGAATCATTTCTAGACAAACACATCAAGAATATATGATGCTGAAACCGGTTTGGCTCAATGGATAGAGCGTCGATCTGCGGACTGAAAGGTCCCAGGTTCGATTCCGGTCAAGGGCACGTACCTTGGATGCGGGCACACCCTCAGTAGACAGCTGATTGATGATTCTCTCATCAATGTTTCTAGCTCTCTATCTCTCTCTCTTCCTCTCTGTAAAAAATCAATAAAATATTTTTTTTAAAATAAGAAAAAAAGAATATGAAGAGGTTATATTATCCAAGCCAAAATGAAGTTTGAGTGTGTTTCTAAGCACACAATTTCATTTATTTATATACAATTTCTTGAAAACTTTTAATTTCCATATGACTCATTACACCAATGCATTAGCAAATTGTTTTAACTCTAACATTAAAAAATTACTTTAACTTTTTTTGAAGCGAACTGCATCAAAAAGACTGAAAGATGCTTGGAGTATACTTCACTTATTCACCATCATTGGAAAAAAGTGTTTAATGTTGCATGAATTTCCTCATGACAGGTCATTTAATCTTTAAAATTTTTAAACGGCATTTTCAAAAATACATCACATATGGTCATGTGTTTAAAACTTTTGGATTGGTAAGGTATGTACACATCTAATACCTTAATAAAAAAATGAAAAAAAATTTAATTTTTAATCATAAAAGTAATATATCTTAAAAAAACACACACACTAGAAACAACATATGTAGATAAAGTAAAATATTTAAATTGGTGGTTCTCAACCTTAAGTTGCACAAGGGAATTACCTGGAGAACTTTAAATATTAATGATTTCCAGGCTCTACTTCCAGAGATTTCAATTTACTTGATCTGGGTATAAACATTAAAAATTAAACATTAAAAATTCCCCAGATGATTCTAACATTCAGCCAAAGATGAGAATCACTCCTCTATCTAAGATAACAAAAAAAATCACTCTTTTATGATTTCTTTTTTTTTCAGAATAAATATGTTTATATGTAGAGTTTAGGAAAATCATTTAAAATTGGACACAAGAGCTCAGCATGTGTGGCTTCGTGGTTGAGCATCGACCCATATACCAGGAGGTCATGGTTCAATTCCTGGTTAGAGCACATGCTGGGGTTGCCGGCTTAATCCCCAGTAGGGGGTATACAGGAGGCAGCCGATCAATGATTCTCTCTCATCAATGTTTTTATCTCTTTCTCCCTCTTCCTTCTTCTCTCTAAAATCAACACAAGCATTTAAAAACATTAAAATTGAGCAAAAGACCTATAATATTAATCTCTATCAGTAAAATTTCATTTTCATTTTCAATTTCTCTAAATAGATTACAAACCATATTTACCAGATTTGTGACAATTCAGATGGTCTACAGGTAGATTGTCACTCAGTTGCCAAACTGTTTTCACTTTTTTTTGGCCACTATTTATTTCCACTCTCCATTTCTGTGGCTTCTCACTAAGACAATAAACACCAAAAGGAAAAGGTAGTTATTTCCTTTCTTTTTTCCTTCTACAGTCATTAGTGAAATCCTTATGTGAGAAGCACTAAGAAAGAAGAGACAAACAGGTCAGAATTCTGAATTTCAGATTTTAGAGAATGCTGAAGTTAGGGGTTCACTTCTAAAAGGAATTTAGAAACATGGGTCTGAAGTTCAGGAGACATCGGAGATATGGATTATGAATTATTAGCCCAGAGGAATGAGTATGAATGTAATCACCCAGGGAAGATAAAAAGTAAGAAGAAAAGAAGTCAGAGAATATAGAGTTCTGGTAAAAACTTACATATAAAAAGCAGACAGAGGAAGGAGAAATTGATAGGAACTATTCTCAGCCTAGAAGGTGGACTAGAGTTAGAATTAAAATTAAGACAGAATGCAATGTCATAGAAACAGAGGAAGGGAAAGGTTCAAGAAAGCAATTGTGTTAACCTGCCTTGTAGTGCTTACTGAGGGAGAAAGAATTGGTGGGCTAGCTAATTGTACAAGGAGCTGAAAAATATTGTTGTATTAGAAAGTGTCCACAGGATATGATAATTAGAAAGACACTAATAAGCCCTGGCTGGGTAGCTCAGCTGGTTAGAGCACTGCCCTCATATATAGGTTGCAGGTTTGATCCCCAGGCAGGGCACATACAAGAATCAACTAATGAATGCATAAATAGATGGAACAATAAACTGATGTTTCTCTCTCTCCCTTTCTCTATCTCTTCCTAAAAACTAAATAAAATAAAAAATCTTAAAAGAAAAAAGAAAGCCACTGATGGCCTCTGCCAGAGCAGTTTCATGGGAGTGCTGGGGTTTCAATAAGAGGGAACTAAATAAGAGGTAGGGATAAATAAGAGTGACTTTAGTATAAGAGAAAGTTCAAGTATATTATATGCTGAGGGGAGACCATCATTTGAGGCCAACTCAAGTGTTCACATGGATGGCTAATCTGTCTTCTTAGCCTCACAGTTCTCTACCTCCTCAATCCCATACTCTTCTCTCACTCCCACTGCCATTCCTTTGACTTTATCATTACCCTGATCACTCTTTTTCCACTGTCATTTCCTTTCTGGTTATACTTTCTAACCTGTTCAGCAAAGAAATTACAGATTGGTTGAAAGAGAGTAGACAAAAGGTCTGGGAGAAGGCCGGGCAGAAGGGCACTATCAGACTATGGCAGAGAGGGGTAAGATGAAGGTTTCAGAGGAGAAGCAGCTCTGGGTTCTGGGGAACAGACATCAAAACTGCCTGGAACCATGACCGGACTTAAAGTATAATTTAATTATTAAATTGCTTACCTTTGATATAAATTTTTTACAGCAGTTGGTCTGACTGGCAGCTGAAAAATATGTTGCTCATCAAGAGGATTTTGTTTATAATATTTTATGCAGGATCTATAAAAGTAAAAAAAAAGATCCTATTTTAGAAAAAAATGCCACGGGGAGATAAAGGTAGTCTAAAATTCATAAGGGAACCATTTTATTGAATGCTACTAACCATAACATCAACAACAGAATAATTTCAGGGACATAAAAGTAAAAAACAAAATACTATAGCCCTACTCCCAACAAAACATTGGTTATTTGCCTTTTGATGGAAATATCATTTGCTTTTAAAAATTAGTAGTAGACATATTTCTCATAAATATAAAATACATTTAAATTGAGCCCAAATAAAGGCTTATATGTGTGTGTGGGAAGAAAGAAAAAAACAAAGAGGCAAAAGAGAAAGACACAGCTTCCTTGGTCTTCAGAATCTGAGGAATTAAAGAATTAACTTATTTATACTACTTATCTTTAATGGGGAAAAAAAATAGTAACAATTTCTAGTACTTTTCCCTTTATAACTGAGGCAAATTCAGTTAATTTTGAAAAAGGCAGAGATACATTTCCTTTCACAGATAAAAAGAAACTCAGTTCTGCCACTAGATGGTTCACTTATTTCCAATTTTAGACCTCCAATACACATAAGACATCAGCAATCCAAGTATGAGAATTATTCCAAACAAATTTTAGTCAAACTGATGGGCAGAAATCTCTAAATTACAATAATGCTGTTGACAGAGGACTGGTAATATTTAATTCCATTTAGTTACCATATAAATGGCTAGCAATTAGTTTGGTCCAAATGTATAAAAATGTAAAAAAAAAAAAAAAAAAAAGACAAGAAACTATATTCATTAAGCACCTATTAAGTGGCAGATACTTTATATACATTATATCACTTAAACCTGACAATAAACATACGAGGTTATTAGATCCTTTTATAGACGAGAAAACAAGATGCAGTGAAAGGAAACTTCCTCTGGAAATTAAGAAGTGCTAGAGCAGAATATTAAACTTTTTCCTTCTGAACTCAAAGACTTTCCGTCCTATGACAGGGACTTAGAACCATTCTGCTACTGTGAAGATAGGATGCGCAGATTCTATCCTAACTGATAATAAAAAGGTACATATTTTGGCTGCAACTATTTCAGAAGAGAATGTTATGTTAGTAAAACAAACAAACAAACAAAAAAAAAACCACAGAAATACTTACAGTGTTAAAGAAAAGAGAAGCTCATGTTGAGGTTTAATGAAAAGCTTGCAACTGACTATTATTTCTAGAATATGGTGGAGTTTTTGAACACGACAAACTTGTTCTTGTATATCTACTGATGGAGAAACGAAATATTCCTAGAATATAAAAAAAGTATAAGCAAAATAGGAAGTTAGTTAAGGGAAATCTTTAGAAAGAATATGTGTATGCCTGCTAAACCTAAGTCTGGATGCTTAATTCATGGGGGGAGGGGAGGGACAGGAGGCAGCTAGATAGAATATAACACCTTTCAATACAATCTCTCTAGTTAATCTAAGTAAAGTCTTCACTGAGGATGTTCTTCCTAAGCAAACCATCCTACATATTCTCTGGTGAAGGCAAATCACAGAACTGCTCTACCAAGGAGGCCCAAGAGGGTGGCTATGCTACCCACCAACCTCTCTAGATGGAAATTTGAAAAGCAAAAATTAAACCTCTGAAGAATCCAGTTGAATCTTACTTTGCACAACAGACACAGCTAGAGTTTTCTATCTTGTATTTTTCTGAGACATATGACAAATGAGTTGGTACTACAGATTCATTTCTAAGCCCCACTGGTGTGGTTTGATGGTTGAGCAATTACCTAGGAAGCAGGAGGTCACAGTTCAATTCCCAGTCAGGGCTCATGCCAGTAGGGGGTGTGTGGGAGGCAGCTGATCAATGATTCTCTCTCATCATTGATGTTTCTATCCCTTTCTCTCTCTCCCTTCCTCTCTCTGAACTCAATAAAAACATATTTAAAAGGATCTTCCATAGAATGTCAATGGTCAGAACAGATGCTGTTCAATTTCCTAAACTTCCTACATAAAGACACTAGAAAAATACAAAAGTTTGTAATCATGACCCTGAAACCACAAAGTCTCTTTTGAATCAATATATTAAAGAACATCATAAATTTTTTGGAATTTGTGTATAATAGAAATGGGTCAAGGGAATATAAAGCAAAAATTCCTTTGTAGGGCCTATAAAGAAAGGCATTCCCTAATCATTTACTTTTATATGTTTTTTTAAATATGTTTTTATTGATTTTAAAGAGAGAAGGGAGGACAGACAGATAGAAACATCAATGAGAGAGAAACATTGTCTGGCTGCCTTCTGCATGTCCCCTTACTGTGGATCAACCCTGCAACCCAGGCATGTGCCCTGACCAGGAATCAAACTGTGATCTCTTGGTTAATGGGTCAATGCTGAGCCACTGAACAATACCAGCCGGGCCCTTACATTTTAGACAAATGGGAGTTATGAGAGTACACAGGCTTCAGCAGGAGATACGTATGTGTCAGTAAGATAAATGTAAAGAAATGATAAATGATACTAAAAGGGCTATTTCTTTGTTAAAAGACAGTAGTAATTAAGGGTATTGATTGTCCCATTTATTTGTTTCCTGGACCTAGGATAGAGGGACACTGATTAGGCACTTAATAATTATATATAGAGTGAATAGATAAAAGAAAAACCACATTTTGATTAAAAAAAATAAACTCACCAAATGATTCAAAGATGCAAGTTCTTGACCTATTATGAAAAAAACATACATGCAAATAAACTTTAGGTATTATCTGTTGCATGTTAAAGAACCTAAGTAAAAATTTTCATAGTTCATATATAAAAAAGATGCTCAAGCTAAATAGTTTCTTAAAAACACTCAAATTTTCTGGCACATTACACCATAAAGACATACTATTACTTTTTCTAAAAATGATCACAGTTTGCCCTAATAAACACAATGAAGTGTTGGATATTAAAACAGCATCTCATAAAATCATTTTTATTAACTACATTATACTCATAGAATTTCAAAATGAGTAGAATCTCAACTAAAAACAATCAAGCAAGCACTCTAAGTATCTTTAATTTAATACCTTTATCAAGAGAAAAACCAAAGGGCCAGAGAAGGAAAGTGTTTGTCTCACAGTGAACCAGGGGCAAAGCCAGAACTACAAATGACTAGGGACAAGTAGAAAGATAAAATCTGAGAATACCTATGGGCTGATAACTATGATGTACTTTTTAATTTTTTGAGCTAGGAAGGTACTTACCTATGAAAAAACTGATATAATCTTTCTTTAGTTTGTCCAAACCAACTTCCAAAAGCATCTGAACTGGAAGAGTCCCACAGAGAGAAACTGTGTCCATGGCTCCATGGTAAGACTGGTGAATGAGCTTACTTAGCAAACTGTTACTTCCACTATGGAGCTAGAAATCAAGAACATTTTATAAAGCCATAAATTAATCCAATAAGCAAAAGAGAAGCAAACTGCATTAGCTACAAGCTAAAAATTATAAACTTGCATCTTTAATCTCCTAGTACTATAAATTGTTTGAATAAAAGCCCCCAAGTTACTTTCTAAGATGCCTTTCCTGCCTTATTTGTTCAAGAACAAAGCAATTAAGAAGGGCTTAAACTTATTACTCCCAGATGCAATTCCACCAAAGAGAAGGCAGAGCTGGTCCTTTGAAGCTTTATAACTGATAGGAATTCTTTTCTCCTGGCTAAGTGCTATTTGAGCATCTTTGCCCAAATCAAACATTTTCAACTACAATGAAAATCTACTGTAGCAGAAAACTCTCTCAATGGTCCATGCACATGCCATAAGAAACTCCTTATTGACTACGATATCCAATATATTATACTTACTTGATCACTTGCAAATTAAAAAGAGCAGCAACCTTACAGATCTAACATATGTTCCAAATGTTAAACAATTAATTTTAAAAATATCTAAAATATTTTTCTCACTACTGTCTTCCTATGATCTCTAATTTTAATCACAATCTTTTACATTTTCTTTTTTTAAACTATTTTCACTTTGTTTGTACTCATTGCACCTAGCAGGGATATACTGGTAAACACTTCACACAAAAATTCTCAAGGAAAAAATCTAATGGCCAAGACTACAATGACTAGAATCTGCCCAATTAATTAGAGTTTGCATGTCTCTGGAGTGTACCTTTGTTCACACCTTTGAAAGTTTCAAAGCTTTATAGGCATGAATTTAGCTGTGACATTATTTAAAATAATTCCTATTAAATAAGGATTCCTTAATTGTAAAAGCACAAATTCATTATGGAAAATTCATAAAGTATAGAAATGTATAATGCAGTTAGAAAAACTCACTTGTAACCCTAATACCAAAAGTACTGCTAAAACATTTATTTGCTTCTACATTTTCCTCTCCAAAATTTACATTCTTTAATACAATAGTGTATATTCCTGTATTTTTACTGAACATTATAAGAATTTCTCCACATCTGTCAGCATCATTTTTAGCAACTATTACATGTGTCATTATGTGGTTATATTATTATTTACTTACTCATTTCATTTATAGTGGAAATTTAGGTTACTTACATTTTTTTCTACCATAAATGAATATCTAATGACTATTCTAATACATAAAATCTTGATACACATTTATGTATGAGCTTAGGATGGATCTTAACAAAATAACTATTGATTTAAAGGGCATGACACATTTGCAGAATCATTATGAAAACTGCTTTCAAGAGTGTTCCAAATTGTACTCTCATCAGTAGTATATGAGAATTATCATCCATATCAATAGTAACAATGACAATATTAGTCGTTTACAAATACCAAGCACTTACCTATGAGCTAGGTGCTAAGAGCTTTACATGAATTAAATTACTTAATTCTAAAACAACACTATGAAGTAAGTATCATTCCTACTCCTACTTTAGAGATGAGGAAACTGGAACACAGAGAAATAAAGGAATCTGCCCAAGTTTACACAGCTAGTGAGTCACAGGGCTAGAATTCAAGTTCAGGCAGTATGCTCCAGAGCCGATGTCTTTAAACATCATGTTGAGAAAACATTCAACACACACTACTAAACCTACCCATGGCTGTATGTCACCACATTGTAGACTCTGGATGATCAATGTGAAACACTTCACCAAGTCTTGATATGAAATCACACCTTGAAAAACAAGTCAGTCTAACATTATGTTCATGGCATTTCTGCAGATGATATATCTCTCATTAATCTTAAGGACACACAAAGAGGAAGACAAGAGTCTGTATTTTATGGATGGAGGAAGGGGAAAGAAAAAGGCAAAAGACAATGTATTTCTAAAGAAAGAAATTAAACTGCCACAAAATAACACACTTAGTAAAATATTAAGGAATATATTTTCCTTTCTCTAATAATTATAATTTCACTAAGATGTATGCTTTGATTCATATAAACACAACTTAAAAAGCATCTAAGTCTTAGCAGAAGAAAAGAATATTCTATGAACTGTCTTATATTATTAGTTCAATTTTTGAGGAGAATATGCCAGTGCATTACTAGAAATTAATTTGTAAAACAGGAACTAAACTTACACACAAAACTAGTAGAACATAATGTTGTTATTTCCAGAAGACTTAATTAAAGGTAAGCCTAAGAAGTAACAGGAAAAAGTTTTATTGTACAATCACGATGAACACCTACTACTACTCATTTTGCACCACAGCTGCTCAGCAAAATCCAAATCTCCCCGTACTGTGAAAAGACAATCGATGGAGCGATCTAATGCAGTACTGTCGGTCTTCACTGTCTGAAAAAGAAGTGCCAGAGAATACTCAGTTTAGTTTTTTTATTTATTTTATATTTAATATATTTTTATTGATTCAGAGAGGATGGAAGAGGGAGGAGATGAAGAGGGAGAAGGAGAGAGAGAAAGGGAGAAAGGGAGAGAGGGAGAGAGATGGAAACATCAACAGTAAGAGAGAATCATTGATTGACCGCCTCCTGCACACCCCACACTGGGAATAAAGCCTGCAACCCAGGTAAGTGCCCTGACCAGGAATCAAATCATGAGGCCATAGGTCGAAGCTCAACTACTGAGCCATGCTGGCAAAGCTCAGTTGTTTTTGTTTTTTTCAACAGTGAAAAAAAGTAGTTTAAGGCCAATAAGCTTTCAAATGCGGCTCTGAGAAAATATAGACCCATGAACACACACAAAGAAAGATGTGAATTAATTTTCTACAATTTCATTCACTAATGAAGATACAAATCAATAGTGAAAAACCGAACCCTTAAAACTGTTTTTAAAATGTGATGCCTAGGCCAAAACCGGTCTGGCTCAATGGATAGAGCGTCAGCCTGTGGACTGAAAGGTCCCAGGTGCGATTCTGGTCAAGGGCATATACTTTGATTGCAGGCACATCCCCAGTGTGGGGTGTGCAAGAGGCAGCTGATCGATGATTCTCTCTCATTGATGTTTCTCTATATCACTCTCTCTTCTTCTCTGTAAAAAAAATCAATAAAATATATTTTTTTTAAAAATGTGATGCCTAAAAACAAGTATTGACTTTCCTTTATGTAAAAAATTCTAAATTACTGTTGTCTCCATTTTCCTGATTGTCAAATGACAACACAAGTAGCTTAATTTAATAATATCATCTCTGGCATATTAACATGTTGTTTTATATTAATATACTAAAGTTATACCATGTTATGGTATATTAACATATTCACTTCTACTTTTCTACAGTTGAGAATTAATAATACAGATGTATTAGTTCTATTTAAAACTATTTATCAGCCCTTTAGGAAAACAATCACCAGTGCTGACATTAAAGACCAAGACAAGACTACCCTCAAAACACTGCTTATGTTGTATGTACCAGATCCATTTGACACGGATGGTACAACATGAAAGATAATACAACCAAATTTAAAAGCTATTTTAGTGTACATTTCTTTTTTGTTCTTGAATATCTATTTTTTGCTGAAAAATACCATCAATAAATTAACATACAAAATGTACAAACATGTGAGTAAATAATATAATGACAAAGGACTATCTTTGTGGAAAGTGTTTTTTAAAAATATTTAGATTTCAGTGAGTGTAGAATGTAAATGCTCACAATCACTTACCTCTGTGTCTTTTTTTGTAGAATCACCAAATCCATCCAGCTTATTTAAGTCTGGCAAAAGCATATTAATTCTGTATTTTATTTTTCTGCTTTCAAAATTATTTCCATCCTAATCCTTTTTTTCAAATGACAAATGAGGAAAGTAAAAGTATAACTGGGGATTTTAGCAAATTACTTAACTCTCCAATGAAAGTCATAATAGATAACCCTTGGGCAGGGGTGAGAGGATGAACTGAGACACAGTGAAAGCCCTAACACATAATGCTGGGCATCTGGTAGGTGCTCGGGTTACTGTTGCACCTTTCTTCTACTACAATCTCAAATATGGTTGTGGTATGTTAATTTTAAATTAAATCTTATTCTTAAAATTTCCTAGGCTGTTACCATTAGCAATTCAGAATGAAAACCATCCTCTGAACATAACAGACTTCATAGTTTATATATCCCAACCAAAAAGAATACCAAGCCTAAAAAGACAACTTCATTTAAAATAGCAAGTTTAAATTCCCAATTAAGAAAAATAAACAATGTAGAAGCATGGGATAGGAAAACAAACACCATTTAGAAACTCCTGCACAAGTTCAACAGCAGATTTTGCTTCCAGAGGTGCAGGCCATTCGGTTACACCAGTCCTCAAACCAATAGCCAAAACCTATAGATTAAAAATAACAAAAGCGTGTTAGCAGAAAGCACAGTTTAGTCAATAAGAATATATTTAATATTATTATTTATTGAGTATTTAATTACATGCCAGGACTGTCCTAGTGTTTCATATATAGTATGTTATTTAATCCTCACAAAATCTCTACGAGGCAGATATTACTATCTACCTTTATTTTACTAGGAAGAGGCTAAGATAACTGACAGTGCCAGGACATACACCCAACGATGGTGTTCTGAACTATGATGCCATGTGTTTAGATGCTACAGGATTCAAGACTGATGAGCCAGCCCTGAAGATGCTTGTAATTTTGGTTAAGGTTTAGTAATACATATGAAATAATTGGGAACCAAAAAATAGAAACAACTAAAATATTCATCAGCTGATAAATGGATAAACAAAATGTGGCATATCTATGCAGTGGAATGCTACTCAGCAATAAAAAGGAACAAAGTACTACAGAAAGTATATTGGTGGTTGCTAGGGGCTGATGGGGGTGAGAAGTGACTGCTAAATGCATATTGGGAATGATGAAAATGATCTAAAATTAAAGATGGTCATGGCTGTACAACTCTGTAAGTATATTAAAAACCACTAAACAAGTGAATTTTATGAAATGTAACTTATATCTCAATAAAGCTGCTAAGAAAAAGAAAGAAGAAAAAGAAAGAAGAAAAAGGTAGGCAGTGATTGGATATAACTGACTTTGTATGCTAGGCTAAGAGACTTGGAATTCCTACTGCATTAAAATGAGGTACCCCCTTGAGATTCAATTTGTAGAGTAGAGCCAAAATTACTGAAATATAAAATTCTTGAAACACATGCTCATTAATCTTTAGCATCATTCAAAACCCAAGTTACTAACAAGCAGATTACATATGCATCTGAAATAAATTAGCATTTAACCCACGTGGAAAGAGAGGAATCCATCATATAAATAAAAACCAAACACTCCCAGTAAAAAAAGGCAGAAGAATGGTAGCTATTATTTTCTAACTAATGCTCCCTTTAAATGTAAGAACCACTGCCACATAGAAAATTAAGCTGCCCAAATTGCCAAGAGAATCCAATGCATATATAACATTTGGAACAATTTTTGAAGAACACAAAACTACTAAATAACCATGATATTAACAAATATTTTTATGAAAACATGAGACTTAATGCAAGTAACAAATTCCAGAAGGATACTTACAAGGAGAAATTTCAGTTCTCTGTGAAGATGATTCAAAGGACTTCTGGGATCTCCTGATTCCACTTTAATATTCTAAAAAGTTCTCAAAGTCAGTTTCACTGGTAATCCCACCTTCTTGGCATAAGGGTCAGAGTTACTTGCATTTCAAACTACCCACACATTAAAAAATATATTTTATAAAGCACTGATATATTGAAAAAGGCAAAACTTCATTTAGAACATCTCAGAGATACCACAGATCCTGCCTATCTATACTAATAAAAGGGTAATATGCTAATTAGACTGGGTCGACCAGCCATCTTTCAGATATCCGACTTCCTTCTGGACAAAGCCATGGTAGTGAGGGCAGAGGCAGTTAGGGGTGATCAGACTGGCGGGGGGGGGGGGGGGGGGCAGTTGGGGGATGAGATCAGGCCATCAGGGGAGGGCATCAGGGGCGATCAGGCAGGCAAACAGAGAGGTTAGGGGTGATCAGGCAGGTAAGGGGGCAAGGTAGGGGCAATTAGGCCAGCAGGCAGAGTGATTAGGGGAGATCAAGCAGGCAGGCAGGCAGGCAGGCAGGTGAGTGGTTAGGAGCCAGTCGTTCTGGATCGTGAGAGGGATGTCCACAGGGATTGGGCCTAAACCAGCAGTCAGACATCCCCCGAGGGGTCCCAGATTGGAGAGGGTGCAGGCCAGGCTGAGGACCTTCCCCCACTCTATGCACAAATTTCATGTACTGGGCCTCTAGTCCTGATATAGTAACTTAAATTCAGGCCATCAAACTTCATTTCTATACTTACAAATGTACCTACATGGAACAACTAACTGTTCTTACACGTTCTCTTGTTCTCGCCTACTGAATTTCCAAAGGACAAGTAGGAGAAATATAAGTACAGCTCCAAACTCAATGATAAACTTAGCATTACCACACACCAAAGATAACCCAGCCTCCCCAATAAATATGCCCCTTAGACACATTTTAACTAAACCAACAGTATGCTGTCCTACCTGGAGGTAAAGTTTACAACTCCAAGATATTATTTTAAGGTTGGGGGGGGGGGAGTAAAAAAATTCTGTTGTATGTAAATTCCTATTGAAGGAAAAGCATTAAGAATATGATTATCCATAATCCCACCACCCTGCGTAACCACTATTAACCCTACCCAGGCTTCTGCGTACACATTTTTTTAAAAAACATGGTTAAGATTCTACTAAATGTTCAATTTTGTACTTTTAATAGCATTTCCTATTATTATTAAAGACACTTTAAAGATTTTTAAAGAATGTGTAATATTTCATCATGGAAATCTATTTTAGTGATTATCCTATTTGTTTTGAAAAGTTTGGAAACAAAGCTATATTACTGCAAATAGCTTTGTACATATATTTTGTTAGCAATTCTAAATAACTTCTTAAGACAGATTCATAGAAGTGTTAAAGGGTGAAAGGCTTACTAGTATAATAATTCTTGATGTATCGCCAATACATGCACAGATGACAGCTTAGAGATCACAGTCAATAATATTGCAATAATTGTGTATAGTGCCAAGTGAGTATTAGACTTACGAGGGGATCACTTCCTAAGTTATATAAATGGCTAACCACTATACTGTACACCTGAAATTAATGTAATTTAAATGGCAGCTATAATAATAAAAAAAAAAAAAACTATAAAAAGAACAGCAGAGATGATGTCACTTTGATAATTTCACTTAAGTCCTAACTCAAGAGACTATTAATCACTGGAAAATTCTTAAGTTATTTACTTCCAGTACTGTGGCAATTCACCTGCAAAACCTCCACTGGCTTCTCTGGCTACTTCCGGGGGAAGCTGTCCGAGCTTAGGAAAGACTGGGGCTGAGACTGGGACAGGAGGCATGCAGGCCCAGCAACAAGCAAGTTAAAAGTAAACCCACACCGAGTAAACTCAACAGAAGACAGGGCTCACTCCTACCAGAGTTGCAGTTGAAGAGAGTGGAGGGGTTTGAAGAATCTCATCCACAGGACTCCAGGAAATATCCAAAGTGATCGCAGTCTGTGATGCGGGGACTGTATCATCCAAGGTAGTGGACTTCAGGAGCTCATACTGGGCAAAGCCCCTGGCTGTCACCTGAAAAGAGAGCATCCAGCACACTAGCTGTCACATGACCAAAGGCCATTTTCAAAACTACTTCGATTCTTTCCCCAAAAAAAGAAAAAGTAGTATACTTTATCCCAAGTGGAAAAATAAGACAATTATTCTTAATCACAAAGATTAGCTAAAAGGCAAGAAGGCATATATTTTATTTTAATATATTTTTACTGATTTTTTATAGAAAGGGAGATAGATAGAGAGCTAGAAACGTTGATGAGAGAGAAACACTGACCAGATCCCCTACCGGGGATATGCCTGCAACCAATGTACATGCCCTTGACCAGAATCGAACCTGGAACCTTTCAGTCCGCAGACTGACAAGAAAGCATATTTTTAAAAAAAATATATATTTTATTAATATTTTACAGAGAGGAAGAGAGAGGGATTGAGAGCTAGAAACATCGATGAGAGAGATACATCGACCAGCTGCCTCCTGCACAACCCCCCACGGGGGATGTGCCCGCAACCAATGTACATGCCCTTGACTGGAATCGAACCCGGGACCTTTTAGTCCGCAGGCCGACGCTCTATCCACTGAGCCAAACCGGTTTTGGCAAGAAGGCATATATTTTAATGTTAGTCATTAGCTGAGAGGAAAATAAATACAAACATTTTGATACTAAAGAAAAATAGGTTGTAGTCATATTAGGAGTGAAAGGCAGGTCAATACACTTTGAAGAAAATAATATGAGAAGAGAAATACTTACAGCAGACAATTGATGTCTTTTCTTATGTAAATTTTTTAAGTCTTCAAGGTTTATAGAATAATTTTTATCAGCTATGGGACATGAAAGAAAAACATTTAAATATATAATACAAAATTACATCTTAATGCTAGAAATTTCCAATTCTGAGAGTACCATAGTTTAACACTAATAATAGTTGAAATCAAGTTTTAAATCACAGTTGAATGGAATGTTTATAAAAGAATGAAAGTGGAACAAAGCTCAATACTACCATAAAAAATATAACTATGCTTACTATGAAACTGGAATTATATTGACATTATATTCAATTTTTTAAAAAATTAGTTTTATGAGATTTTTAAAAAAATATATTTTATTGATTTTTAACAGGAAGGGAGAGAGATAGAGAGCTAGAAACGTCGATGAGAGAGAAACATCGGTCAGCTGCCTCTTGCACACCCCCTACAGGGGATGTGCCCACAACCAATGTACATGCCCTTGACCGGAATCGAACCTGGGACCTTTCAGTCCGCAGACCGACGCTCTTCCACTGAGCCAAACCAGCTTCGGCTATATTTAATTTTTGATCCTCTAATGAAAATTCCAAAAAATATACCCATACAAATAAAATGAAACCCAAACAAAACAGCTATAAACTCCTGTCCAGACTTTTGGAGATCTGTTTCTGGTGCTTCTGGAATATCACCTACATGCTGCAAGTTAATCACTAGACTAGATTCCTGGTGGCTAACATGTATTCCATTGTGTGCACTTCCCTCTTAACAGTATCAACTTTCAGTAAAACCACAAATAAATAAACATATATACACATACCCATAAAAATAGTAAGAGCCAGCTCTCACCTTTACAAGTGACCGCATATAAGACAATTCCGGTAATGCTGTTATTTGTTGTGATAAGCTCGGCTCCTAGCCAACAGGTCCCTTCAGGATCTGAACTGTCACATCTTACCCAAAGGGGAGGGAGGGGAGTAACTGGCCGATTAATCTTTATATGGGTCATATTAGGATTGTGAGCCATGGTGTAAAGTCCAATTAACTGTCTTGAAAATAAGAATAGAAAGAATAAATTATGGTTAGACATTGCCATATACCTAGTCAAGAATTTTCTTTTCCAAAGATATCATAAAGTGTCTCCCATAAACAAAATTCTGAAAAATGCACATAAATATTTCACCCAATGTAGAAGTGAGAGAGACCACACAAGGCAGATAAAGACTCTAGAAAATGACAATGACAGGTTCGAGAGCTACTACAAGCAGGGAGTGCAATACAGCAAGGTTAAAGGTTCAGTGAGAGTGGAAATAGGGTGTGAATTCAGGCTAAAGAAATATCAACTATATCTCAATAAAGCTGGGCGTGGAAGGAAGAAAGTAGGAGCCAACAACCACATGAAAAGATGCTTGAATTTAATAGTCAATGGGCCACTTAAAATAAATTAGAATATGGAGTGTGAATTAGATAATAGTATTGTAACAATGTTAAATTTCCAGATTCTGATCATTGTTCTGGGTTATACAAGATAATATATTTGTTCTCAGGAAATATATAGTAAAGTACTTAGTGGTAAAGGAGTACAATGTCTCCAACATTAAAAAAATTTGTGTGTATGATATGTGTATATTATATAGACGGTGGCAGTGGGAGAGGAGGAGGAAGAAAAGGAAGAGAAGGATTAAAAGAAAGAATGACAAAGCAGATAGAACAAAATGTAAACAATAGTTGAATCTGGGTTAAGGACACACAGAAGTTCCTCTATTATTCTTGTAACTGTTCTGAAATTTGAAAGCATATCAAAATTAAGTTACCAAAAATGTGGCTTAAGTTTTTTTTTAAAGAGATGAAAACTGAATTTATTACCAACAGATGTTCAGGAAAGGAATTTCTAAGGGACTGTACTTCAAAAAGGAAATACAATAATCCCAGAAGGAAGGTCTGAAATGCAAGAAGAAATGGAGAGCAAAGAAATGATAAGCATATGGGTAAATCCCAACAAACACTGGCTGGAGAACACAATATAAACAATAACATTTAATCCTGATAGCTAGGGGAGGTGGGGGAGGCCAGGCAGAGGGAACTACATGTAGTTACCGTGTTTCCTCGAAAATAAGACATCCTCCGAAAATAAGACCTAGTGCATGGAAAGATAAGACATCCCCTGAAAATAAGACCTAGCGCAACTTTGGGAGAAAAAATTAACATAAGACATTGTCTTATTTTTGGGGAAACAGGGTACATAGGGATGAAGCAGGCAGTGAAACTGGCAAGGCAGAGAGAGGCAGTAAGGTTTCTAATAGGGTGGGATCATTCCTCATTGGAATGAAGAGCCCTATGCATTACAGGACGTTTACAATCCATGGACCAGGCCCATAAGGTCCATAGCTCCCCGAAGTCTCAATGATGGCTAGAAGTACCCCTGCAATTTCCAAATGCCCACTGGTCATGGTACCCTGGGTAGAAGACCACTGGACCAGACAAGGAAGGCTCCTATGTATTACTCAAAAGGAATTTGGATGTTTTCATGAGGCAATGAGAACCGCCGAGGGATTTATAAGCAGGGAAGAAACTCGATCAGACTTTCTTGGCAGCAGTGAGGAGGAAAGATCGGAGGGGAACCAGATGATTTGACACAAGGAAAACATTTAAGAAGCAACAACAAACAGTTTAGGAGACTGGAGAAAAGGACAATCACAACAACCTTCTTGGTCACATCTGAGATATCAGTGGGACGTTCAGTAGAGAGTTGGGTATACAAATGTAGGGACAGGAGGAGGAAACGAGGGAGATCTGCGCTAAATACATACCTGTTTTCCAATGTTTATAAGAATGTTTTAAATTCCTCCCCTCCACCCCTTTTCCTATCCCAATACTAAGAAAAACTTACCTTGCCCTCTCAACTGGTAAAGCAAGTGGTCCAACATTCTCACCAGTAGAGAAATCAGAAATAGCAGTTTCTTCAGATTGTAGCTCTTCAACATGATTTGTTTCTTCCTTTTCCAAAGGCTTTAAAATTTTTTAAATTATTTAACCAGGTAAGAAAACATGAAAGATAACAGTCAACTGTTCACTATGCTAAAACATAATGCACTGATTCCTAAACTTTGAGCATAAATAACGGCTATGGCAAGAATCATAGCTACAAACCAGTTTGGTACCAACTTATTTTGCCATCAGAAGCATTTCCACTGTCCTATCAAAAGATATTGCTCTAAGTTCCTACTAATAAAGGAAGTATCTGATGTCATTAGAGAAAAAAGTGTTCCAACATGCACAAAATGCTAAAGACAAAATGCCAAGGGGGAAAAACATCAGTGACTCCCTGATTTTGGCAGATTCTTCATTTCCCAAATGTGAAGATTCCTTAAAGTTATTCCTCTTAGGGCTATCAATTCTCTTTGTGTTACAGGATTCTGATATCTATGTGTTTTACTACTTAACTAGCTCAGTATTGCCAATAATAACAATAATTATGAGATAACATTTCGAGCATTACTAGGTCCCAGTGACTGTTCTAAGTTTTCTTTTATTCTTCATAAAAGCCTTGAGACTGATACTATTGTTAACTCTTTTTTAAAGATGGAAGAACTGAGAAGAAACTTGCCTAGGATAATAACACAGCTGCTGAGTGCAAAGCCAACATTTGAATCTAGGCAGCCTCTTCTAGCAGTAAATCCTCTGCAGAGTTAATAGGTATCAGACCTAGATGTTTCCTCAACTTTGAATTTTTGCAAGATTCCAGATTTCATTCCCTTGCAGGCCTAGCTTTCCAAAAAGTTCCTTAAACTAGAGGTACCAAGACATACCATTTTTCCTCTACTCTGCTTTTCAATAGTCATGTATTAAGCTCTATTGATCTTTGCAGAAACAAAGGCCATTTTAATTGTTCCTCGTCCAAAAACGCCAGGGCCTCATTGAATTACAGGTAACTCTTTATAACTCAAAGCTGCATTTTCCCTAGAATCCTAACCCAGATTTCCACAAATGCCCTTTGTTCATCTTTACCATTTCCAAGATAATTTATTTTAACTTTTTCAGCTTTGCTCCTACATACAGACATTTCCCATTCACCCCATAAAAGTCTAAATTCAACCACATAATTCATCTATAATTATTTTCCAACAATTTGTCCTCATAGATAAGCACTAATAACACCCATTCGTTAACTTAAAAGACAAAGAAGTTCCCCTCCTCAGAAGGGAGTTTTCTTGTGTGTGCATTTAAAATAAAGAGCTCCTACTTCATTCACCACAATGTCTATCCCATCAGCATGAGGGTCCTAAAGCAGACAGAGGCGTTCCTTCCAAAGAAACATCCACTTTCCCTTTCAGAGCTTGTTCCCATCTACTTCAGGAAACGATGTAAGCAAAGGAATGGTTGCTCCAAGCAACCATTAACAGCACTCAATAAAAACCTCAGCTGCCAAAACAGTGACCATAATAAAACAAAAAGGATTAAGGTTGTAATTATAAAGTGATTCAAAAAAATAAGAAGTTCCCTCTTGTTACAGCTAACAAAATTAAAGTAGAACTTCCATGTGTCATAGCTAGTTATGCCGTTAGCCACATTTGGCTATTGAGCACTTGAAATGTGGCCAAACCAAATTGAGATGTAAGTGTAAAATACACACCACATTTTAAAGACTCAGTATGGAAAAAAGAACTTAAGATATCTGATTAATGATTTCTATATTAACTAGGTTTTGAAATTATAATTTCAGATATATTAGATTAAAATTTTAAAAATTACTACACCTAATTTCAGACCCAGCAATCCCACTCCTGGGTATTTACTGAAAATAAAAGTTATGTGCAGCACGGCTGGCGTGGCTCAGTGGTTCAGTGATGACCTATGAACCAAGAGGTCACAGTTCAATTCTTGGTCAGGGCACAGGCTGGGGTTGGGAGGCTCTGGGGATGTGAAGGAGGGAGCCGATCAATGATTCCCTCACATCATTGATGTTTCTATCTCTCTCCCTCTCTTTCTTCTCTGAAAGCAATAAAAATATATTAATAATTTAAAAAGAAGTTATGTGCACACAAAAATTTGTACAAAAATGATAATAGTAGCTCTTTTCATGATCACTGAAAACAATCCAAATGTCCTTCAAAGGGTGAATGGGTAAATAAGCTGTGGTATATCCATACCAGGAGACACCACTCAACAATTAAGAGAAATAAGTCATTGATACACATACAATTTGGAAGAATCTCAAAAGCATTAAACTGAGTGAAAGAAGATATACTGTATGATTCTATTCATAACATTCTTTTTTTCTATTAATAACATTCTTAAAAGAAAATTTTACTGTATGATAATTTTACTCATTTATATTTTAATGAGGTTACCAGAAAATTTAAATTATATATGTGGTTCACATTATATATCTATTGGATAACACTGTACTTACTTATTCCTAAAAGAATTAGAATCCACTTTTTAAAATTTGTTGCCCTGGCTGGTTTGGCTAACTGGTTAGAGTGCCGGCCCACTGACCAAAGGGTCTCAGGTTCGATTCCCAGTTAAGAGCACGTAACTCAGATGCAGGTTCCCAAGCCCCAGTAGGAGCACATGTGAGAGGCAACCAATTGATGTCTCTTTCTCACCTCAATGTTTCTCTCTCCATCTCTCCCCGCTCCTACTCCGTCTTCCTACACTCTCTCTAGAGGTCAATGGAAAAAATATCCTCAGGTGAGGATTAACCAAAAAAAAAAAGCTGATAAAAGATGTATGCACTTGAGATTATTCCCATTAAACCAAATTTGGCTATCAAGAATAAAACACCACAAAGCCCAAGCACTACTTACCACTTTTTCCAAGATGAATACAACATCATTTTCATTTAGAATATTTTTCAAAGGATTTAGTTGACCTTTGCCAATCAACTGCACTTGAACATCAGCCTATTAAAAACAGATAATGTCAAGCAATGTTTTATGTACAAATATTTAATCACATAAAGACCAGTTCCCTGTGACTGAAAAGGAGAATTTGAACAGACTAATGTTTTAAAAGATTTCATTTACTCTTTGCCCATGTTACTTTTCCTGTTTAGGAAATGTAGTTCATATCTATATCTACACGCACTTCAAGGCCCACCTAAAATGCACCCTGCCTTTTAATTAGGATGACGCTGACAACCTTTTCCTCTACTCACATTCTATTCATTAAGTACCATAAAATTAACCCTTTACAAAAAGTTATCTTTCCTTTTGATAAAACTATGGAATTTAGAACTTTATCAGTTTATAGGAAATGCAGTCTTTCATTCCAGTCGAAATACATATTTATTGTAGAAAATAAGATACCTGAAAGAGCTTTTAAAAAACTCACCTATAGCTGAAACCGGCTTGGCTCGGTGGATAGAGCATTGGCCTGCGGACTGAAAGGTCCCAGGTTCGATTCCGGTCATGGGCATGTACCTTGGATGCGGGCACATCCCCGGTTGGGGGTGTGCAGGAGGCAGCTGATCGATGCTTCTCTCTCATCGATGTTTCTAGCTCTCTATCCCTCTCCCTTCTTCTCTGTAAAAAATCAATAAAATATATATATTTAAAAATATATATATGTGTGTATATATATTTTTATTGATTTTTCACAGAGAGGAAGAGAGAGGGATAGAGAGTCAGAAACATCGATGAGAGAGAATCACACATATATATATAATCACACATATATATATAATCACACATATATATATTTTTAAATATATATATTTTATTGATTTTTTACAGAGAAGAAGGGAGAGGGATAGAGAGCTAGAAACATCGATGAGAGAGAAGCATCGATCAGCTGCCTCCTGCACACCCCCAACCGGGGATGTGCCCGCATCCAAGGTACATGCCCATGACCGGAATCGAACCTGGGACCCTTGAGTCTGCAGGCCGACGCTCTATCCACTGAGCCAAACCGGTTAGGGCAATAAAAATATATTTAAAAAAAAACAAAACTCACCTATAATTCTACTACCGTGTTTCCCCCAAAATAAGACTACTTACAGGTTTCCTTCTGAGTGAAATATAAGGCATCCCCCCAAAAATAAGCACCCCCCAGGCTAAACATGACAGATTTGGTCCACTGATTCTGAAAGAAATGGAGTCACAAGAAATTCACCAGGAAATTCAGGAGTTGGATTGTTATGATGATGTTCCAGAAGATGATGACATGATAGTCATTGAATAAATGAGTAAATTCTTGATACTGTAGGATTCAAGTTTGTCTGGTTTGTGTTGACAACTACCGTATTACCATACCATATACAGGTATAAATTTCCTTTATTTTTATTTAACAATAAATGTGTACTGTATTCTTCTTCATGGAAAAATAAGACATCCCCTGAAAATAAGACCTAGCGCATCTTTGGGAGCAAAAATTAATATAAGACACTGTCTTATTTTCAGGGAAACAGGGTAGTCAGGGTTTTTATTACTGTTATTAGCCTTATGGTAATTATTTTGCCAGCTCTTTTTCCAAGCATATAAATTTTAAATTAAAATGTATCTATTATTTAGATATAGATAAGATTTTGCTTAATAAAAATAGGATATTCTAATAGTTTTTAGACCATGAAATTCCATGCCATTAAATGTTCTTTGTCTAGTATCATGGCTCTACCATTATTTAAATAATTTCACATTGTTTGACATTTAAGTAGTTTCAAGTTATTCCCTAAGAACAACTGAATTACTTTCTTAAGATGAATATATAAAATCAAATCGATATTGTCAAATTGCCATTCTAATATACCATACCCACACATTTGTATTCCTGTCACTTATTTCAACACAGTATTTTCTAAGCATTTTCATTATTTTTACTGTCTCATAGCAAGAATATAGTATCCTGTCCAGCTGGCATGGCTCAGTGGTTTAGTGCTGACCTATGAACCAAGAGGTCACAGTTGGATTCCCAGTCATGCCCGGTTTACAAGCTCCATCTCCGGTGGGAGGCATGCAGGAGGCAGATGATTCTCTCTCATCACTAATGTCTCTATCTCTCTCCCCCACTCCTTTCCTCTGTGAAATCAATAAAAATAAATTTAAAAAAGAAAATAGTATCTTGTTATTGTCCTAATTTTCATTTATTTGATCACTAATAAAGATGAACAGTCTCTAATATGCTTATTATCAACAAGTATCTCTCATTATTTAAATCTGCTTAATTTCTTATTTTAGCTATTGAAGCATTTAGATACCAAGTTCAGAGAGCCAAGGATTTGTTGGAAATCAAAAGATAGGAGGAGGCAAGGAAAGAATCTTCCCCAGAGCCTTGGGTGGGAACATGGCCCTATAGGCACTCTGACTTCACACTCCTAGTCGCCAGGACTGTAAGAGAATACATTTCTGATGTTTTAAGCAAATCAATCTGTGGTACTTAGTTACAGTAGCCCTAGGAAACTAATATAGATATCAACTGGCAAGAATTCAGGGAGGGATTAATACATTTACCTGGATATACTGAATTTCTGAGTTTGATGAGTGAAAATTCAGATAGTGTAAGATACCTCTATTGGCATTTTTTCCCCTGTGATTACTTATTTGTGTCCTTCTATTATAGTTGTCTTTTCTCTTAATTGATTTTGAAGAGTTTTAAGTATATTTTTAATATATGGATATTAACCCTTATCACTTATGACTATTTCTCCCTAGCTAATTTGTCTTTTAGTATGTAATTTACCTTAGTTTACTCATTACTTTGGGGAGTTTACTTATAAAACGGTTGGCATATATTAAATGTTTAATAAACCAATATATGTTTACAGTAGCTTTACTTGTAACTCTCAAAAACTAGACACAATCCAAGTGGTAAATGGATAATCAAACTATAGAGCATCCACACAATGGAAAGCTGTTCTGAAAAATAAAGGAATGGACTACTAATACACACAATAACAAAGATGAATCCAAAATGCATTATACTCACTAGTAGAAGTCAAACCCAAAAGGCTACATATTGTATATTTTTTATTTACATTAAATTACAGAAAAGGCAAAAGAGAAGACAGAAAACAAGATAGAAAACAGATTAGTGGTGGCCAGGCACTGGGAACAGGAGAGAGGGTTGACTATAAAGGGAAGTGACAGAAATGTTCTATAACTTGATGGGGGTGGTTATATGACTGAATGCATTTTAAAAACTCCTAGAACTGTACTCTACAAGGATGAAATTTACTCTACTTAAATTAACTTCAATAAATTCAACTTTTAAAACAGAATTTTAGGATTATTGAGATGTGTTTAAAAACCAAATAAATTTTCATACCTCATAGATAAATGGGTCTTTACAGATTCCTTTCTTTTCTTCATCAAATTCCCTGTGAGGCAGAACCACACGTGAAAAATAAGAGTTACAGAATTCTGTCATTTCAACTCAAGAGTTAGTCACCATGGGCGACAACAGTGAGAACAGCAAAATGCCAAGAAGTCATGGCAGCCTTAAGGCACAGTTGGGAAGAGGGGGAAAAAGCAGAAAAGAGTATTAGGTTGAGAAGAAATAGAAAAAAGAGATATAGTAGAGATTAATAGACTGCTGCCCACAATTGGGCACAACTGCTTTTAAAAGGCAGCTCTACTCTTTTTAAAAATACATAACTAGTTACTATTAAAATGTAATTTACCACATGACTTTTGGGAAGTAAAAATGACAGGATTTTGATCTGCCAATGAACCAGTGGGCGAACATAGAAAAATTATTTTAAGGGTCCCTGCCTTGGATTTCTACAGCTAAAATGGAAATATCTAATCCTCTCTCTAATTTTATGAGCTGTTATCAAAAAAAATTTACAAAAAATTAGTAAACTTGATCACATTAGCTCTAGCTGGTTGCACAATGGTTAGAGCATCAGCCTGCAGACTGAAGGGTCTCAAGTTCAATTCCAGTCTAGGACATATTTCTCAGTTGCAGGCTAGATCCCCTGCCAGGTCTGATCACATGTGGAAGGCAAACAATCAATGTGTTTCTTTCACATCATTGTTTCTCTCTCCATCTCCCACTCTCTCTAAAAATCAATGGAAATTTTTGGGTTAATAAAATAATAATAACAATGTAAGCACAAAACTATCATTTCAGTCAAGAGAATTTAACTTTTTTTGTTTTGTTATTCTTCACTAGAGGATATTATGTCCACCGATATTTGGAGAGTGGAGAGAGGGAGGAAGGGGGGAAAGAGGCAGGCAAAACCACAGACAATGATGTGAAAGATACATTGACTGGTTGCCTCCCCCATGCACCCCAACCAGAGCTGGGGAATCAAACCTGCAACCCAAGTATGTGCCCTTGACCAGGAATTGAACCCATGGTCATTCGTGCTTTTACCAATGAGTAACACTCTAACCACTAAGTCAAGCCTGCCAGGGTTTTTTTTTTAATATTTTTGAATTTAAAAAAAATGTTTTTGTTAATTAGTCAAGAGAATTTTAATATCGATCTCAAAGCATGTAAAACTATAAACCATTAATATCCCAAAATGCATATCAGCCTACTGTACACTGAAAGTGAATGTTAAGATTTTAAATTGGCCAAAACTGGTTTGGCTCAGTGGATAGAGTGTCTGCACCTGCAGACTGAAAAGTCCCGGGTTCGATTCCGGTCAAGGGCATGTACCTTGGTGGTGGTCACATCCCCAGTAGGGGGTGTGCAAGAGGCAGCTGATCGATTTCTCTCATCAATGTTTCTAACTCTCTATCCCTCTCTCTTCCTCTCTGTAAAAAAAATCAATAAATATTTTTTAAAAAAGATTTTAAATTGATTTTGTGTTAAGATTTTAAATTGATTTTTACAGAGAAAAAGGAAGAGGAAGAGAGAGAGAGAGAAACATCAATTTGAGAGCAAGACATGGATCCTCGGCTGCCTCCTACACCCCCTACCCGGGATCAAGCCCTAAACCTGGGCATGTATGTGCCCGACCAGACCAGGAATCAAACTGGCAACACTTCAGTGCACAGGACATTCAACCAACCAAGTCACACTGGCCAGAGTGAGGAAAGAATCGTGTGTCCTAAAGAAACCCAATGGAACTGTTTCAGGATACCATGTATTATTTGACCTGCTCTATGATTTACTGAAATAAAACGGGAAATAAATATAAGCTTGAGACTGATTTACCTTTGCCATTTAGACAAGACTGTGACTTAAAGATGTTTGTCTTTAATGTACAACTAAGAGATGACAGTCATCATTCAGCAATAATTTCTCAAACTTGTGTACATTTCTCAAACCACAGAATGAAATATTATAAAATATTTAATAAAAACAAAGAGCTCTATAGGCGCCATACCGGAAGCTATCCAAGACATTGTTACCGTAGTTTTAAAAAGCTAGTGTTGCCAAGACCGGTTTGGCTTAGTGGATAGAGCGTCGGCCTACGGACTGAAAGGTCCCGGGTTCGATTCCGATCAAGGGCATGTACTTTGGCTGTGGGCACATCCCCAGTGGGGGTGGTGCAAGGGGCAGCTGATCGATGATTCTCTCTCATCGATGTTTCCTAACTCTCTATCCCTCTCTCTTTCTCTCTGTAAAAAAAAAAATCAATAAAATATATCTTTAAAAAAATAAATAAATAAAATAAAAAGCTAGTGTTCATGGCTGACATGTACACATAAGGAACTATTTGACATTGAAATTGGGACTCAAAAAAACTGTTGGCCCAGAAGGGAACTCACTACAAACTGATTCATTTGCCTCTCAGCATAACCATTATGGGCTTGTCGCAGTTTAGGTTCTTACAAGGGTATTTCTTGGATCACATGATCTCACACACCTAGGGAAAATAATGAACATAAACTGATGAACAAAAATAGACCCAGAGAAAGAGAAGCAGCTATCAGACTGTCAAACCTCAGAGGGAAAGTAAGGGAGGATGGGGGTAAGGGGAAGAGATCAACCAAAGGACTTGTGTGCATGCATATGGGCCTAGCCAGTGGCCATGGACAACAGAGGGGTGGGGACATATGTAGGGAAGGGGTTGGAATGGGAATGGGGGAATGAGGATAATTATGTGATACCATAATCAATAAAAAAATAATAATTAATAAAGAAATAATAAAGAAATAAAAATAAGTAAATAAACACAAAGCTAGTGTTCTTTCTATAATGATTAAAAATTGATAAGAATAACCACTTTTGTAAGCAGAAGAAAGCAATAAACAATGAAAATTTATAGAATTTAGAAAACAAGGGGTGAGATTATACCAGTGGTTCTCAAAGTGTGTCAGCCAGCAGCATCTGCTTTATTTTGTTAGAAAGGCAAATTCTTTGGCCCCACCCAGACCTACAAAATAAGAAACCCTGGAGGTGGGACCCAGCAATCTGCTTTGACAACCCTCCAGGCGATTCTGATGCACGCTCCAATGTGAGGGCTCCTGCATTCAGATTTTAGATCGGATGCAGGACTAGACGGAACCCCCTTTGGTTCTGTTACTTTAACATCAGGATAAAATGCCTCCGGCCGATGTGGCCCAGTGGTTGAGCGCTGACCTATAAACCAGGACCCTGGTTAGGGTTCAATTCCCCTGGCAGGGCACAAGCCCAGCTTACGGGCTTAATAGGTAGGGGGCGTGAAGGAGGCAGCCGATCAATGATCCTCTCTCTAAAATAAATGAAAACGTATTTTTTAAAAAGGATAAAATGCAACCTTGGAGCACAGTGAAATAAAGGTACTTTAGAAAGCCAACACACCAATACGTTATCATAACTGCGGCTCATATGATAACTATCTTGGATGGGCTACATAGCAGTAAGGTTCACACCAGCGAGGCTTCACACAGGGGAAGGATGCCCACCTCCGGTTTTCCATCCACAGGAAAGTGCCTCCCCCATGCTGCGAGGTGTGTGCACTCTCAGAGTGAACAAGGTGCCTCTTGGAAAACGTGTCCCTTCCCACCGCGATCCATAACGTTCAGGTATTTTCTCCTAAACCACACTTCAGGGCCACACCGGGGCAGACAACCCCCGGAGCCCAGGAAAGCTTTAGTCTGACATACGCGCCACCAAGAACTGACAAGGCGCCGATCCCCAAGGCTGCGGCAAGAGGGTTGGCGGGGGGGGGAGGGATACGGAGAGACCCCGAGGGAGTAAAGCTGTCCTCGCAACCCAGCCAAGAGCAGGAGCTACAACTCACTGCAGGAGACGCGTGTGAAACTCCTCGGCAGCCCGGTTTATTCGCGACCACATCCCGCCTCAGCCCAGCGGCGGATCGCAGGCCTCCAAACAAACTTCGCGCGGGAGGCCGGAGCCCGGCGCCGGGCCCCGCCCCCGCCGGGACTACTTCCCCCGCCGGACCCGTTGGTTCACAAGTTAAAGTCTTGCTTTCAAGCAGACAGCGGTTTTCTCCTTCCCAATAGCTTTTTTATTTTTAGTCTCCTCAATAACTTTTCATTTCCCTACAAAAAAGTTAAAATACGTTACAGTAGTTGAAAGGTAGACACCTCATCTCGCGAGATTTGGCCACGCCTGCTTCGGGATTACTCCGCCGAAAGGAGTCCCTCCTTTCTAAATGCAATTGTTGACTCTAGAAGCCGGTAGATACCGTCATTTGACTAAGATTAACAAATAACATGCTATTTCTATTTTTTCCGGAGTGGCAGAGAGGTATTTATGTGTCTGGGTTGGCCCTGAGGCGGGGCCGGGTGGGGAATGAGTTGACGGTGACATATAGAACGAGGGAGTGCTAGGCACTTCCTTTTCCTGTGGGAGCCGCCGGGTAGAGAGGAGCGTGGCCCTCTCCTCTCTCCGCCATGGTGAGTGGGACTTCTCTCGGTCGCATTTTCCCCTGCTGTCGGGCCCGGCGGGAATGGGTTTGGGGTTCTGAGCATAAGCTTTCAGGAGGGAGCGCAAGGGAAAGGAGATGGAGGACCAAATGCGTCCGTGTGTGGCGGGCAGCCGGGTAGTGCGGCTCCAGGGCAGCCATCTTAGAGGCAACGTGGGCCTCCGGCGCGGGGCTCTCGGACGCAGAGGGCTTTGGCGCTCTGGCTTTCCTTGTCCTTGGGTAGCCCGGGCTCTGCGGAAGGCTCGGAAGTTGTTGGGTGCTAGGACTGATGGTGGTGAGAGAGTCAGCGTTAGGCCCTATACCTCCAGGTGCTGAGGCGTAAGGAACATTCCGTCTTAGAGAGACTTAAGAGAGTTGAGTTTCCTGAATTCCCGTTTGTTCGCCTTAAGAATCGCCGCTATCAGAGGCTTTTTGATCCTCTTAACTTAAAAATTAGTTTTTCCTACTTGGTGTCCCCTAAATGTGTTCGCTTTCAGCCGGCTCGTTGTACGGTGAATACTAAATGTACCGCGTTTCCACAAAGGATGTTTTTATATTATGTAGTGTTCTGGGCCATTGGGGAGTTCAGCTAACAAAATGGGCAGAGGAAAAACACCCACAGTGAAAACCTATCGGTATGATGCTTGCATCGTGATTGGGTTAGGTGTAACGATTAGTGGTAGTGAGTGCTGTTGGCATAAGGGATTGGGAAGGAGGCAGGCGTTGGGCCTTAGTGACCCGAGGAAGGTGGGGCCACCTTTAGCGGTGAGGAAGCATGCGAGGGGCATCTTTAGGGAGGAGACTCGGGTAGGAGAGTGATAATTACTCTGAAGGAGAAGATGGGAGGTGAGGCTGAGCATATTGTCTAGGTCAGCCTTAAAGTTTTATTTTCAAGTGATAAATCTTTGGAGAAGGTGGAGCAAAAAGTAACAACCAGAGTTTTCTCTCTAGGAAATTTTGGAAGATGTGTTTAGAATGGGATGATGCGGTCAAGGATGAAACAGTGGGGAGAGTAGTGTTGTGGTAGACAAGACTTGTTAACATCTGGGGTGAAAGAGTTGAGTGGCTTTAACATTTTAAAATCTTAAAATAGGCTTTTGGACGTTTTTCTTTGTAGACCCTGCTTGGAAAGTTTAATGATAAACTATTCTCTTACACTTGGCAGAACTTGATTCTGAGTTTCCTTTCAGCTTAAAGAGTTTTACTTGCAATGATGTTGTAATTTGCGTCCTACTCTGTTCTCAGCGACAGTTGCCTGCTGTCAGTCGGCTGGTTCAGAAGGGTGACGAAAATTCTTCCTGAGCAAGACTGTCTTTGAGTTAATAGACTTGATGTATTGGTAACATAGTCTTTGTTTTAGCTGTAATCGATGCCTACCCCACCAAACTGGTTTTTTGTAACTAAGCAATTAATGGAATTATTGGCACATAAGAGGAGTGCTTCTGACACTGCTTGTTGGAATAAATATATTTTTCCTTTTTCTCAGGCGTGCGCTCGTCCACTGATATCCGTGTACTCTGAAAAGGGGGAAACATCTGGCAAAAATGTCACTTTGCCTGCTGTGTTCAAGGCTCCCATTCGGCCAGATATCGTGAACTTCGTTCACACCAACTTGCGCAAAAACAATAGACAGCCCTATGCTGTCAGTGAATTGGCAGGTATGAATTTAGATCTTTTATCAGTTGATATTTTAAGAGCTGCTTAAACAGTAGTGATGAAATTCCACTCCATTGGTCCGTGTTTCTGAATCAGATGATTTTCCTGGATGTTCTGATGCTGTTTGCTGCTATGCATAATAGTCTCAGTGGTATGGTTCGGTAGCTAAAACTTTTATTTCTTTCCCAATTTCAGGTCATCAAACCAGTGCTGAGTCCTGGGGTACTGGCAGAGCTGTGGCTCGAATTCCCAGAGTCCGAGGTGGTGGAACTCATCGTTCTGGCCAGGGTGCTTTCGGAAATGTATCTTTTGTGGTCACTACGTAGACTGGTCAGCCATCATGGAATTCAGCAGACTAGCTAGACCTGGTTTATTCGTGTTAGTTTGAAGATATTTTTGTCCAAAATACTAATAGCATCCAGATAACTCTAGACAGATTTGGAAGCTGGAAGATTTTCTGATAAATAGTAAACACAATAAGTGCTGGACATTAGAAAGTTTTACTTGCAATGATGTCGTAATTTGCGTCCTACTCTGTTCTCAGCGACAGTTGCCTGCTGTCAGTCAGCTGGTTCAGAAGGGTGACGAAAGTTCTTACTGAGCAAGACAGTCTTTTCCCCCTAATATTTGAGGAATGTGATTCTTAACTTGGAAAAATAGATGTGTCGTGGGGGCCGCATGTTTGCACCAACCAAAACCTGGCGCCGTTGGCACCGCAGAGTAAACACAACACAGAAACGATATGCCATCTGCTCTGCCCTCGCCGCCTCAGCCTTACCAGCGCTGGTCATGTCTAAAGGTTTGTGATATTTTTTATTGTAGGAGTGATAACAAATACACATTTTTTCCTTCCTTCGCCTGAACTCATTCGTAAACTTCATCCCAGAGTGTCTAAATTTCCTTATTACCGTATTACATGTTATTTCTGACAAATCAGTCATTGGCAAAGTGCTTTAAATAAAATGATTTAGCATATTAGAAACTTGCCATTGAAACTTCATCGTGTTGCCTGTTCTACTTAACTGTCAAAATGATGAGATTCCACTTCATTGGTCCGTGTTTCTGAAAAACATGATATTTATGGAAGTTCTGATTTGGCAATTTGTATACTGTTTTGCTCTTGTGGGTTATATAAAATGCTCAATTTTTCAAAAGGTTCAGGGTAACCAGGTCATTGTTAATTGGCTTTGTCAGGTCACCGTATTGAGGAAGTTCCTGAACTTCCTTTGGTGGTTGAAGATAAAGTTGAAGGCTACAAGAAAACCAAGGAGGCTGTTTTGCTTCTTAAGAAACTTAAGGCCTGGAATGATATAAAAAAGGTAAGTTTAATTAACACATTTACAGGTGCTGGTAGTCTTAATAAATTTGTCAGAATTTTTTTGAAAAGATTGCTTAAGGATGGTAATAACGACAAATTTTAGATGTGAAAACAAGAACTCTGGAACCATATTGTGTACTGCTTAGCAAGAATAGAGTTTGAGAAATGCATTGTTAGGTGATCTTATGTGACTATTATATGGTATATAGCCTGCTTATTACACACGTGGGCAATGTAGTGTACAATTGCCTGTATGTGGTCTATCATTGAAGGAAATGTGGTTAGGCAATGGGTAAACAGTACTTGGGTTTGGATTCTACTGTGTTTTAGTGTTATAAGATGGTGTGTTGTAACAAAATCTGTTATTGAGATCATCTTAATCGGAATACTAAAGCTTCTCACTTTGTAGGTCTATGCCTCTCAGCGAATGAGGGCTGGCAAGGGCAAAATGAGAAACCGCCGTCGTATCCAGCGTAGGGGACCTTGTATCATCTATAATGAGGACAACGGTATCATCAAAGCCTTCAGGAACATCCCTGGTAATTGTCGTAATGCCTACGTGTTTTCATGCTATGCATGCTTACTCAGCTTTTATTATGATGAGATTCCACTTAATGGTCCGTGTTTCTGAAACACATGATTTTGTGGAGTGTCTGATTCTTGGCTGAATGAGTGAATGTATACAATTAATGGTTGAAACTTCATAGTTGATAATAGTTCTAAGGTATCTATCACATAAGCCATTAGGATGATTTATGTTTCTTTTTAAATATATGCTCCCTAATTCTCCTTTCCCTCTAAAAGGAATTACTCTGCTTAATGTAAGCAAACTGAACATTTTGAAACTTGCACCTGGAGGGCATGTGGGCCGCTTCTGCATTTGGACTGAAGGTGCTTTCCGCAAGTTAGATGAGCTGTATGGCACTTGGCGTAGATCTGCCTCCCTCAAGAGTAACTACAAGTGAGTGTTCTTACATTCATAAACTGAACATAGATTGTTATAGGTATTTACATTCAGAATTTGTTTCCTAAATATTGGATTGCTTTGTTGTTATTTCCCCTTATACAGATGTAATATGCTGAAATGGTAATAAGATATTTTTGAGAATTGGTAGTGTAGTTGGAAATTTTACTTGAATCCTGGAGAGCTTTTAAGTGGTTAAAACTTTTTCTGTTGAGGTTCATGTTAATCACATGAGAAATAAGATTGGACATCTATTCTCAGCATTTTCTTGGTTTTTCTTTCAGCCTTCCCATGCACAAGATGCTCAATACAGACCTGAGCAGAATCTTGAAAAGCCCAGAGATCCAAAGAGCCCTGCGTGCACCACGGTAACATTGTGATATTTATAGTAACTCTTGCCTCATTCTCACTATACTTGGTTATTTTTAATGTAAATAAAATGTTAATATAGTGTCTACCTTTTTATAGCAAGAAGATTCACCGCAGAGTCCTGAAGAAGAATCCACTGAAGAACCTGAGAATCATGTTGAAGCTGAACCCATATGCAAAGACCATGCGCCGGAACACCATTCTTCGTCAGGCCAAGAACGTAAGCGATGATTTGGCTTTTGCATATAGGATACCATTTTAGAGAATTTGATTCTTAGATTTTCCTTAATTTGTTGCAGCACAAGCTTCGGCTGGATAAAGCAGCAGCAGCACTAGAAGCCAAGTCAGATGAGAAGGGGGTTCCAGGCAAGAAGCCTGTGGTGGGGAAGAAAGCGAAGAAGGCTGTGGGCCCTAAGAAGCAGAAGAAGCCTTTGGTGGGGAAAAAGGCTGCAGCTGCCAAGAAGCCAGCAGCTGAGAAGAAGCCCGCAGAAAAGAAACCCACCACAGAGGAGAAGAAGCCCGTGGCATAAACTTCAATTGTTTATTCCAGAACGGTCAAGTCACTTTACTTCGGACAGCTAATTTTGAATAAAAATATGATCAAAGGCAATGAGAAACATAACTTTTTGCATTTGTTTTGTGAATCTTGGTTACAATTTTTTTTAATGCCATTTTGTTCTCCATAATTTCAACCTTACATTTGTTAGTCTGGTCTAAAATGGGAGCATTTGGTTTATCCAGAATCCATGCTTTTGAATGAAAAGGGCTGCTCCATAAATTAAAATGTAAAGTCCATTTCGTAAGCAATGTCTTGAAAAAGCAATGACTGAAAGACTTGTCTTAAATAGACTGTTAAAATTTAGCCACCCCTCCACACATGCTACCAAAAAAAAAACCCACTTGGGAAAATTACATAAGATGTTTTCAGTAACCACAAGAGGGCACAATCAGAACATGTTTTGAGGTACAGCAAGTATTGTTAAAATATGACAGAGGGTGTTTTCCCTCTTGGGAAAGTGACAGCAATATCTTTCATAACCATTTGTGTATTCAGTTTCACTAAGGAATGAATACATTCATAAGCATGGTGCAGGAAAAAGTATGCACAAGCTTGTTTTTTTCTGAACTTTTTGTCACTGAATGTCTTGACTCAAGAGTTGACTCATGTCTGGATCTTTTCTCCCATTGGAGTCTTAAGATCCATAGTAAGGTTGATGTACTACTACAAATTGCATATTAAAGAGTTTTCTAGTATTTCAAGATACCACCCCCCAAATAGCTGCTTTATGTTGATGGTCTAACTTGTACTCACTGGGAAACAACCAGGAATTGGTCTACAAACCTGTAGGGTACCTGTGCCTGTACTAAACGCTGCTAATGTTAGTCCCTTAAAAGGTGCATTTGTAGGATTTGTGCATTTTCATTAACTACTAAATCGTAACATCACATTGGGAGTGGGAGTACTGTGCCCCCTGAAGCATTTGCAACTGGACATCTGAGCATTTTATTACCCAATGATGTTATCAATTTGAGAAACATGGATGGGTTGCTTCCCATAAGCACCCAATGGTGGATCAAATGGCAACCTAGGTATGTCCTGACCTGAGTGGAACCCAAGGCCTTTTGGTGTATTGGTCAATGCTTCAACCGACAGAGCCACCATGTCAAGACACTTGAGTGTTTATTAATCCTCACGGAAGATATTTTTCCATTGATTTTTAGGGAGCGTGGAAGGGAGGGAAAACACGTGAGATCACTGAGGAACCAGCAACCAAGATTCAAACCCGGGACCCTTTGGTCTGCAGGCGACACCCTATCCATTGAACCAAACTGGCTAGGCGATTCTTGAGCATTTTTACCTTCATATTCTTTACGGTTCCAACGGCCTGTGCTTTCGGAATCCTGGCCATTATTCCAGTCCAGGTTTTATAAACCTAAAAGCCCCTTTCATTGCTGGGTGGAGCGGGCCGGAAGCTCTCCAGCCCACGTGCAACGGGCCAGCTGTTCCGTTTCCGGTGACGCGGGCGTTGTGACGTCATCACCGAGCGCCCAGCCGCCGGGGCGTGTGGAGACGCGATGCTGAGCCGGCTCCAGGAGCTGCGCAAGGAGGAGGAGACGCTGCTCCGGTTGCAGACGGCACTGCACGACCAGCTGAACCGGCTCAAGGTGACCCGCGGCCCCCTGCCGCCACCCCAGCCCGGCTCTGCGCGAGCCCCTGGTGCCGGAAGCGGCCCCCTCCTGCTGGTGATCCCGCTCTCACCAGGCGGTTGGGGCGCTGATCTGGTGGTTTACCAGCCCCTATAAGCTTGTTTTTAAAATTAAGACCCTTGATCCTGTAGGTGTAGGTTGAGGCTCAGCAGTCTGCACATTTGGCGAGTTCATCCCCACACCCCACACTCCAGAAACGCGGGAGCTTCGGGAAGCGCCACCTCCCGGAGGCTCGTGTGGATGCTCCCCGCCCACCGGCCTCTTCCTCCGAGCTCGCGTGGCGTTTTCTAGCCCCTGTCTCCTCGCTTGTATTGATGCTTGAAACAGCTCTAGTATTGGAAAGCTAAAGAGACTGTCACATTCTCCCATTGTGCGAAAAAAGACAACGAGGCCAGAGAGAAAAGACTTGTCTCATAGTTCCCAATAGCTTTTCTTCCTGGAGTGATTACTGAATACACGGCTTTGACTGAGAGTAGAGGTTTAGGCCCATCAGGACCTCTCCCCAGATCTTTGCGTAATTCAGCCCCAGTACAATGATCCTGATAACTCCTACTCCAAATGAAAGCCCTTTGTAAATTGAAAAAGGATTGCACACAACTGTGATATGTATCAAAATAATATGCACTTTTCCTCAGGACAGTTGTAGTAGCCTACAGTTACGTTCTCAAAGCACCACAAGGCTGCAAAGGCACTAATGTGTGTGTGTGTGTGTGTGTGTGTGTGTGTGTTGATAATTACCTCCGAAGCCTAAGTTTCTTTATGCTCCTGGAAACACTTCCATTTTTCCTGCCTTCAGTTTCTCAGTACTAGTTAGAGAAGCTCAAGCCTAAGGAATCTGTCCTCAGTGGAATCAGAATTTGACATTTGGCTTTTTAAAGGGCTCACTTGTGTTTTCTTCCCCTAACCGCTTGGTCCGGGCTAGTGGATCTTGGCTCGGTCAGAACACCTGTGCACCTCAGAGGACCAGGGCTGGAGGCTTTTTTTGCTCATTTTCTTAGAAGGCAGGGAAAGCTTAAGAGCCCCACCCTTCTCCTGGGAGCTGCAGGGAGATTACACTGTTCACTTGTGATGCCAACCTTTTACAGCATGGACAGTAAATTTTCCCACCTCAGTGGAATAGTAAGGAAAATGTTCTAATTCTTCTTTTCTAGGTTGAAGAATTGGCCCTCCAATCAATGATTAGTTCTGGAAGAGAGGATAAGATGCCGTCTTCTCCAGCTGCACAGGAACAGTCACATGATGTAAGCTTAATGAAGTGTGGGCCTCCGGGGCAAATGCAAAGTCCATTCTGCTGTCATTGTTGTAAATTACATTATCAAGCCAAAAGGACTGGGAAGCACTGATAAGAATATTCTAGTTTGATAAGCCGGCTATTCAATATTACTGTTTTAGTCAAGGAACAGCCTTGCTGGTTACACCTGAATTGATTTAATATTGACTTATTAATTAGGTACTTATATTGCCTCCACATCCTAGTCATCCATCCTCTCACTCTAATGAACACGGGGAGAGTGGAGATCTTTGCAGGATATGTCACACCTCTTGCTGCTCCACAAATAAGTTTGTGTTCAAAAATAGTGTAGCTTCAACTACAAAGCATAGTGCTAAAAAGTGAGTTCTGATCTTCATTGTATCCTCCTCTTACCAAATGTCCTCATTTAATCAGTAAAATCATCTTTCTAAATATACCATAGTTTAACAGCTCTCTCAGTTGTGTGTGAAGCACTTAAACCCATTCGAAAGCAGCATAATTCTTATGTAAGAATCATTGTTGTAAATCAGGTAACATTCTGTCACACCTAGGCCATTTATCCTCCCATTTTGGCAGTTCGGGTTGGGGTGGAGGGCGGACAGGGTAGAATTTGGAGAAGCAAGAAAGTGGCCATACCTCTTAATGGTAAATACTGGGAATGAATACACAATTGAGATTTGGTTTTAAACCATTTTTAAGAATTTGCTGTTTTGAGACTAGTGTTCTCCTACTAATTCATAATGTCCTTGGCTAAAGCAGATGGTGGTGCATGTAGACAATGAAGCTTCAATCAACCAAACTGCACTGGAGTTGAGCACAAGGAGCCGTGCACCAGAAGAGGAGGAGGAGGAAGAGGAGGAAGAGGAATCAGATTCGTGAAGTGGGGAAAGAGCCAGGGTTAGTTACACAAATTAAATTTCTAAGTCGCAGAAACTTTCTCTCTAAAGTATTCTTGCCTTAGGCCCAATGGCCTGCTTTAAAAGGAAGCAAGAACTTTAGGAGGATGTTGACAATAATTCAAATTTCAGAATATTTAACAAAAAATAGTGACATATAGAAAGGCAAAGATGCAATGTCTTAGCATTGAGCAATATGGGTGGTGCTGTGTCTGTATTCTGGTCAGATCCAGTAGTTGTGTTCAAAACAGAAGATTTCCTCTGAAATGCTATTGAGCAAGTCTGGCATTTGCCAAAAGGGCAGAGTGTTAAGTACAAGGCAGCTTTTTCAATCAACAATGCCTCTTTTAAGCAAACCAATTAAAGGCTGTTTGCATACCATTGAACCCTGTAAACATAGCCAAAGTCTAGGAGAGAAAGATGATGAGGAGGACAAAACACCACTTGAGAGCACCAGCTGCTGCCACCTCTCAGTGACATCGCAACACACTGCCCACTTCGGACTGTTTTGTGTGGCTGTAATCACTTCTAGGTTGAGACATCACAGTGATAAAATGTGCATAGAAATAAATTGTAGATGAGTAGCCAACATGCAGCTATCTGGTTTCCAGATAGCAACAAGAGAAGCATTTCAGTCCCTCTGGGGAAACAGTACAGCCCATTTCTGAACTTCGGAAAAAATGTGCCATTAAAGAAGGAATCACTATGCTTGGGAGATTGGATTTTTTATAATAAAGAGATGATACAGAATAAGTGTTAAAACTTAGTGTTTGAAGTTGAGATTTATTTCTGCATACTGTCCTTTTCCCATTGAATGTACAGTTAAGTAGTTAGTTTATGAAAATCTCTACAGGCCTGGTGCACGAAATTCGTGCACTGGGGGTGGGGAGTGTCCCTCAGCCCAGCCTGCACCCTTTCCAATCTGGGATCCCTCTCACAATCCAGGACTGCTAGCTCCTAACCACTCGCCTGCCTGCCTGATTGCTCCTAACTGCTTCTGCCTGCCAACCTAATCACCCCCTAACCTCTCCCCTGCCAACCTGATCAACACCTAACTGCTCCCCTGCCAGCCTGATTGACCCTAACAGCCCTCCCCTACAGGCCTTGTCCCTCCCAACTGCCCTCCCCTGCTGGCCCGGTCAACCCTACCTGCCCTTTCTTGCCAGCTTGCTTGCCCCTAACTGCCCTCCCCTGCCGGCCTGGTCCTCCCAACTGCCCTCCCCTGCATGCCTGGTTACCCCCAACAGCCCTCCCCTGAAAGCCTGGTCTCCCCCGCAGCTGTCTTCCCCTGCAGGCCTGGTGGCCCCCAACTGCTCTCTTCTGCCTGCCCAGTCACCCCTAACTGCCCTCCCCTACTGGCTTGGTTGCCCACAATTGCCATCCTCTGGTGATGGCCATCTTGTGTGTTGGAATGATGGTCCATTTGCATATTACCCCTTTATTATATAGGATTTGCCCTGTCCATGCAACAGAAAAGCCAAACAAAACACAAAGAACCTCCTCAAGCAGAACATCTTATGTAACTGTTCCAGAAGAGAGCATGGATATGTTTGTTAATCAACATTTCATTAGTTATTTTGAGCTACTCTTATAGAATGTAGCAGGAAGTTTAAATGATGCTTCTTAGAAAACAATGTGAAGATGGTTTTTCAATGAAAAGCCTCAAGGCATACATTTTGGGCATCTAACTTAAAATATAAGCACGCATTTTTAAGAGCTAGAAAATCTGATCGCTTGCCTTCTCACATCTTTGCAATTCTCACTTTCCCATCTGTTAAATGAGGGTATCTGTACCTGTTCTCACGATTTTTACAGGTTCCTGTGAAATGCTAATAAGATACTGAAAAACCCAACTATTGGTGTTTCAGTAAGTTTGAGGAAGGAATTTGGCATGTAGAACTCAAAACACAGCAAGACTGATGCAAGGAGCATTATTCTTGAGAATGAGATCTTAGTAATTACTGGAAAAGAATCTTTTGCCTCTCAAAATGTAATAATACCTTTGGATGTGAATAGAGAATTTAAAAACATCCCTCAAAAGATACAGGTTACATCACTCTTTCCGTCTCAGATGGAATTTTCCCGTTTTAATGAGACATTCTCAGTAGCGGTTGCATTTTACCTATTAGCAAAAGGCAGTATGAAGAAGGTGTGAATCTTTAACCTCAGCCTGAATATTTATATGCCAAAAATGCATAAGTTAGCCTGCTTAGAAAAGATATTAGCCTCATAGCAAGAAAAAAAATATTGACTAGCTGAGGCAGCAGTGTACAACCCTCACCAGTTTAAATCCTGGCTGAATTCCAAAGCTCTGATAGATCCGAGTGGCACTATCTGCTCAGGAGATTTATTCAAATTCTGTTTTTAATTTGAAAATAGGCTTTTTGTTTTTAAATATACAGGGTGTAACAAAAGTAGGTTTACAGTCATTTGTATGTAAAAACAATAACATCAGAATAAACTTTGGCGTATTCACAACTGTGACCCTTCTTTTGCCCACCTGTGTATTTTCTTTGGCTTTCTATAACCTGCCCTGACAAAAAGAAAATGAGGTCTGAAGAGGTGCTGACCAGGCAGCCTTACCTGGACCTCAAGATTCAAGTCACTTTTCAAAGAAGGAATGGGGACCAGTGGCCAGCTCGGATATAAGCTTTATTTGTGACCTCACTGCCACCTCACAGACATAGCAAAACCAAAGCCAGGTGTTCCTCCTCTCCAAAAAGGTGTAGAGCAGTGTTTCCCAAAGTGTGGTACCCGTACCCGCAGGGGTACGGGAAGAGTTTGGTGGGGATATGCACTGCACCGTGCTTAGCTGCGCCTAATTCATGTTCTCATGAGTACGAGGGGTACTCAGCATTACGAAAATTATAGAAGGGGTACACATATGTCAAAAGTTTGGGAAACACTGGTGTAGAGGATAACCAGTGAAAGAGGGAAACCATTGCTAGGTGGAGCAAGCAGCATGGACAGACCATCCCAGTGGAGGCTCCAATGCTAGTCAGGCCCTGTTCACCAGCAAGGCGCTTCTTCCAGCATGCTGGCAACCCTACCAGCCCACCCCCCCACTGCTTTTCCCTTAGAGAGACAGAAGGAGCAGATGGGATCTATGCACAGGTCCACAGGAAAGGTGGTTGGAAGATTCACAGGTTAGGGTGTTTGCTGAGAAGAGTTGGACAAAGTCCAAAGATTGGAATTTCAGGAAGCCCCATTAGTTTAGTCCAAAGCAGTGATGTCCTCAGGGTGGCATTTTCTCCTTTCAGACCCCCTTCCTCCTATCTTTATCTTTCCCCTCACAAATAATGCTTGGCTAAATCACCTGATTTCTTATGTATTAGAGACGCTGAATATTCTGACACAAAAGTAGAAATAAATCAGCCTTTTAACTTGATAGTATATTTATTAGAATAAGAGATTAGATTTGTTAAACATTTGCATTAAAATGGTTAAAAGGATTTTCGTACAATTTTTAGGCACTAGACACACTGTTGTTTACAATAGCTTCATTACTTGGATTTGGGGAAAGGTGAATCGCATACATTTTAATGCCTTGATACACTTGTAATATTCAAAGTAACTCCACCATTTTAGAAACACTAATCCAAACTTAAAGAGACATATACTACTAAGTATCCACATAGTATATTTAAAAATAAATATAGAAATACAACCAGAAGTCTATAAATCATCAGAGTAGACAGACTGGTGAAGCCCCAATTATCATGGCAGTGAAGGGCTCTGACTAGATTTTGATGGAAATTGCTTAATTCTATACCAAAAGCAAAAAACATAATAAAATATCATGACATACACGTTCTGATGCTTATTTTCATAGCAGCAAAGCATGCTTCACATGCACTGCCTGTGAAGGCTCTCACAAGGCTCCTTCCTCAAGTAGAAAGAAGGTATGCCCAGCAAGAATGAAGTACCACCAAGTGTCAAAAGAATCCCCCAAAATACAGGTGCCAGCCAATCATGGTGAGGGGAGAGCAGTGCAATATTCAGTAAGAAAGACTACTCACAGTTGCCAAGGTTTCACTCGACACACACAAAATAGCCCCAAGCACAAAGCCAATCCACTTAGGGAATAACAATAGTAAGAATAAGGACGGTAATATTAAAAATGACACACACAGAATTTTGGCACATGCTGAGTTCTTCATCCTTTGTCATATGTGAAATGCAATCTGAACAGAGGCATGGGAAAGGCCCAGAGCTACATGGCATGCCACTGGGCAGGGACTCGCTCTTTGCTGTTTCCCAAATGCTTAGACACCAGCCGCGTGAGTGGGTGTGCTGGGCTGGTTAAGGCCGATGGTGGAGCAGAGCCAACCTGCAAAATCCACTTCCTCGGCATCAGACCTCTTGATAAAAGCATGAACCTGCATGTGAGGAAAGAGGAAGTGATGTTAAAAAAAAACACCAAAAAGGAAAATTCAAGAGTCTTAGTAGGTCTAGAGCTTGTTCCTGGAGCCTGCCCTTGAGTAACACTGGGGGCCAGAAAAGCAGGACCAGCTGAAGAACAAAAGTCCAGCTCTGCCTGGTTCTGCGCATCACACCAGCTGTGAGGCCTGGGGCAATGTGCTCACTTCCTGAGCCTGCTCTCTCCGGCTCTGGAATAGGGACAGTAGCTCTGCCTTCAGTGTCTCACTCCATTGTCAGAAGGAACTGATGGACTTGAAAGTAGATATTACACTACAAGCCATGTAAGCTCATATTCGTATTAGTACTTCCCAACTCCTCCGGCTCCCACCACCAGCAAACAGGAGGCGGCAAGGAGATGGAGAGCAGCATGGGGCAGGTGCTGAATACGGTATGAGAGGAGAGGAGACCGTCAGTGGAAGACAATGGCCCTGTCCCCGTGACTCCTGGGCTCCCGGGTCTGCAGGGCCACCCCAGGTTCCCCTTTAAACGGAGGGGGCTGATCTCTGGTATCCTGCAGCAGGGCCAGTGCACTGCCGTGAGCAAGGCAGAGCAGAGAGTGGACTCAGAAAGTACTGGGTGGATGGCTGACAGAGGAGAACATGAATGAACAGGTAGTGTGAGAATCTGAAATAAATGGACTTACCATGAGTTGCTTCAAGTCTGCTCTCTCTGCAGGGTTTTTTATTAAGCTTAAAAGGAGAAAGATAACATGAGAACTGCTGCCTGGAGCTGCTTCTAACTCCAATTACTTAAGTTTGCCTGTCCCATACCCCAGAGGCTCTGAGTAGTGCCTGAGCCTTGTTCACCTTCCTGTTCATAGCACAATGTCATGCCCACAGTGCACTGATAAATGCTTGCTGAACTAAGGTCAAAAGGCAGTATGCCAACCCATGTAAAGCAAGTGCCAAAAGTAGTGGCTATTTCACCGACTGCAATTGTCAGATGGGGTGGGGAGCCTTACAAAAATGGGGTACTCTTCCAGATAACAGGGAGCTAACTTACCATTTATTCACAAAATCTTGAAATTCCAGACTGAATACTCCACTGGGCAGTTTTGGAGGGGGCTGCAAATACATGTCAACACATAAGAAATGTCAGGCCTCCTGCCCTGGCCAGTGTGGCTTAGTTGCTTGGAGTGTCATCCCATACACCGAAAGGAGATGGATTCAATTCCCAGTCAGGGCAAATACCCGGGTTTTGGGTTCAGTCCCTGGTAGGAGTGCATATAGGAGGCAACCAATCAATGTTTCTTTCTCCCTTCCTCTCTCAAAACGAATAGCATATCCTCAGGTGAGGAATAAATAAATAAAGACAAATCTTTAAGAAAACAAATGTTTGGCTTCCTGCCCCAGGCATCTCTCCTCCCCAACCTTGTCTCTGGGCAGTGCTGCCCTTATCCAGTCAAGGAAAGGTCAAGGGTCGGGGCCAATGGCTGGCTGCTGGGTCACTGTGGTGGAACCACTGGTCTCAAACCAGTTAGAACCACTCACTTGTTTAGTTACTGACAAATCACTGTTCCTCTTGAGTTTCAGTTTACCCTTCTATAAAATGAGGAGGGCCTCATGACCCTTTCCACCTCACACTATGACAATAAGTTTTGGAATGTGGCATGGAAATAGCCAGCAATTAGCAGCAGCAGCTAGGGGTATATACTAAATACACTCCAGCTCTGGCAGCACCTGTGAAAGTCAGGGAAGGCTAATTAGCTAAACAAAATATGTATCCCCCTTCTAAGCCTGGAGCAACAGAGAAAGATTAATAAAACATTAACTGGCAGAGGGCTGGGGCTGGGAGAATGTTAGCTGCAGGCTCACTTCTGGAATGAAGCTGTTTGCAGTCACCAGAGCAAGAACATGGCCACAGCTCATTTTCCAAGGGTGCATGGTGGACATCACTCAGGGCTACACAGGACGAGGCCCTGCAGCGCCCGGCTCCTATGCACCACAGCTCAGAAATCATGACCCCCTCCCTACCCCCCATGCGACCTTCCTCGTGAGCTGACACCCAGACCCAACCCAGGATGTCATTATTCTGTTGGGTTGCCCAAATAAACAGGTGGCTCAAGGCTAAAATTTAAATAATAACACTACCAAAAAATTCTAGCCTAGCCCTCTTCCCCTGAATGTCTTATAACAGGGGTCACAACCTGCGGCTCTGGAGCCGCATGCGGCTCTTTTGAACCTTTGCTGCGGCTCCCAGCAGGGCCGACACTAGCAGGGCAGATAGCAGGTCAGGGCAGGGAGCTGTATCATTTATCTCCGCCACCTTCGGCGCTCCTGGCACTCTGTGTGGCAGGTTGCCAGCGACTTAGCATCGCTAGGCAACCACAGAGTCCCTATCCTGGCCCAGCCTCCTCCCTGACATCAGAGCTGGGGAGGAGGAGCCTGCTGCGAGGGGAAAGAGAGGTGCTGACAGAGGGGACACTGAAAAATAATAAATAAAAAAAAGCAATAAAGAGAAAAAAGGGAGAAGGAAAAAGAAGAGGACAGAGAGGACTGGAGAAAGAGAAAGAGAGGGCTTGCAGTGTGACTGTCACTGGGAGTCGGGCCTGTACAGTGAGTGGAAAGCATATATTCTGACCTCCTGCTCCACAACAAGGTCCGATGGCTGTCCAGAGGCGAGGTGCTAAAGCGCTTTGTCGCATGTTTGGAAGAAGTAAAAACTTTCCTGGCCAGCAAAGAGCTCACCTTTGCTGAGCTGGAACAACCAGAGTGGCTGGAAAAATTACATTTTATGGTAGACATGACAGCACATCTAAACACACTAAATACAACCTTTCAGGGGAAAGGAGGCACAGCCTTACACATGCTGGAGGAGGTTTCCAGCGCAAGTTGACAGTGTTTGTCAAAGATTTACAGAGAGGTACACTGTCTCACTTTCCCTCTTTGAGAGAGTTCAAACAAAGTCATGATACGATAAATTTGGAATATTTGAAGTCTGCAATCACCACAATGCAAAGTTCATTTGGGAAACGATTCTGTGAGTTCAGAGAGGAAAAAAACACATTATCCTTCCCTGTCACTCCCCTGGCAATCGATTCATCCCTATTGAATATGACTGCATTTGCAGGTGTAAGTCTACCTAATCTTGAGATGGAACTGGCCGAGATAGCCGACAAAGATATATGGGTGTCCAAGTTCAAATGCTTGGCCGCTACTCTTAAGGATGTTGCCCATCAGAAGGCCATTCTGGCTCAGAATCATAAATGGAGTGATATTGAAAACCTTCCCAAACAGGACAAACTTGTATTCGAAACATGGAATGTCATCCCAACACTTATATAAACATGAAAAAGTATGCATTTGGAGTCCTGTCGATCTTCGGCTCCACATATGTATGTGAGCAGGTCTTCTCCAATATGAACTATATTAAAAACAAACATCGATTACACCTCACAGATGACAACTTGCAAGCCTGTGTGAAAATGAAAGTAACGTCTTACAGCCCTGATGTGCAGACACTGTGCACTGAGGTTCAGGAGCAAAAATCCCATTAACCAGGTAAATTAAATATTTTAATTAGCTATTAATTTGCAAAAATATATTTTACATTGTTAAGTGAAAAAATCCTTTTTTTCTTCAGATTGACAGCTAACTGCACGATCCGGTAAGATAGCATTAAGGTAAGAAACAATATATGCAGTGTTATATTTGTTTTAAATGTCGCATTGGTTTTGCGGCTCCGAGGTCTTTTTTTTCCTTCGAAAACGGGTCCAAGTGGCTCTTTATGTCTTAAAGGATGCCGACCCCTGCCTTATAAGAACATTCGGTGAAAAAGCCTAATCTGAGGTCTAGGACTAAAACCCAGCTCTTAGGCCCACCCTGCAGACTGTCTCTGCTGCTGAGGGAAATATGAAGGGAGCATTCATGGGTGAAACCAGAGCTTGGCCTCCAGAGGCCAGGCTGTGCTGAGTGGGAGGGGCCAGGTAAGGGAGAGAATGTGCACCGGAGCAGGTGCATGCACCTGTCACCATGCAGCCCAGCCTCCAGGAAAGTTCTGGGGTCTGAGGGTTGGGAAGAGAAGTTGTTAAGGGAGGAATAGCACTAGGTGGGAGGAACCTGAACCACTTTCATCCTGGAGCCTCACCTATATGAAAAGACAACAAAACCTATTGGACCCACCCAAACAGTGCTCGGAGAATGATTAAGAAAATATGAAAATATGGAAGAAATCAGTGCATAGTAGGCAACTGACAGCTCATTATAACCTCAGGCGCTCTCTTCCCTTACTGTGGCTCCCACCAAGCAGCACTCTCAGCTACGGTCCCAGCAACAGCAGAGGATGGCTTTCCTGACTACCACAGATGCACAGCACACGGCCTTTTCTGCGTCCTTAAGCAGCCAAGATCAGATCCTGGACTTCTTTCCTATGTCCCATGGTGCTGAGCTTAACGCTGGGCAGTCAGGAAAGAGAGGTCAGTTAACCTGAGACAGTGATTTCTTAACTGCTGGGGTGTGCCAGGACCTTCCCTGTTGAATTTGTAATAGATAAGGGGACCTTTATGAGTCTTTTGGGATCTGGTTTCAGAGAGCAGTAAGTAAGTAAGAAAAGTTATTCCACTGGTCTCTTGAGGAAGAAGAAAACAGGATGATACCCTTTCCTACACCCCCAGCTGAATGGGGACCTTCAACTACCTTCCAAACACACCAGAGCTTATCCATGTTGTCCACTATCCATGCTGCTCCTGAGGCCAAGAGTGCTGGCCTATCCTCAGAAATCCTGTCCTGAGCCCCAGCCCAGTCCTCCAGCCCTGCCCTGCCCCTTTAAGCAACCCTGGTGCTAGTCTATAGCTTCCAACCCAAGCCCACCTAAATTTGATGAATGCTTATCAATCTCTTCCTTCCTTGATCCTTTCTTTTCTTTTTTAACCATTTAAAAAATTATTGATTTTTAAAGGAAGAGAGAAACATCGATTTGTTCCACTTATTTATGCATTCACTTGCTGATTATTGTATGTGTCCTGACTGGGGATCGAACCCACAACCTGGCGTTTTGGGACAAAACTCTAACCAACTGAGGTACATAGCCAGAGCTATCTTTTTTTTTTTTTTTCATTTAAACATACTGGTATACATATTTACAAATAATTGTATTCCTTATATTAAAGTCAGCTAACAGTGATAAGCAAAAAAAAAAAAACAAACCACAAACCTTTAATCATCTGTAATTCTATCTGTATTGTATTGCTTTTCCAGACTTTATATGCACATATATGCATATATGCTATTTTTTTAAAATATATTGATTTTTCAGAGAAAGAGAGAGGGATAGAGAGTTAGGAACATCGATGAGAGAGAATTATCGATCAGCTGCCTCTTGCACACCCCCTACTGGGGATGTGCCCGCAACCAAAGTACATGCCCTTGACCGGAATCGAACCCAGGACCTTTCAATCAGCAGGCCGACACTCTATCCACTGAGCCAAACCGGTCCCGGCCATATATACTATTTTTAAAATTGATTTTTAGAGAAAGGAAAGGAGAGAGTGATTATAATATACATACTATTTTATAATCTGCTTTTTTGAATGTAACAATTTATAGTAAATATTTTCCATATTTCTACGCTATAATTTTTATATTAATTTCTTTATTTTATTTTATTGTTTTAATCTCATTCAGAACATGCTTAGAGAGAGGAAGAGGGGAGAGGAAAAGGGATGGAGAGGGAGAGGAAGGAAGGCAAAGAAAGAGAGAGAGGGGAGAAAGGAGGGAAGTAGGGGGAGAGAGTAATAGCCATGTTAGAAAGAAACATTGAAAGAAAAAAATAGAAACATTGATCAATTGTCTCCCATATGCTCCTGGACCAGGGATAGAAACAGAAATTCAGGTCTGTGTCTGACTGGGAATCGAACAGACAACCTTTAAGTGCATGGGACAGGTTCAACCAACTGAGCCACTCTGGCAGGCTGTTCATTGCCGTTAAATGGTACAAGACAAAACCTAATATTGCAATTATAAATGCATTGTTTGCTTCCCCTAGACCCGCGGTCGGCAAACTGCGGCTCACGAGCCACATTCGACTCTTTGGCCCCTTGAGTGTGGCTCTTCCACAAAATACCATGGCCTGAGCGAGTCTATTTTGAAGAAGTGGCGTTAGAAGATGTTTAAAAAATTTGGCTCTCAAAAGAAATTTCAATTGTTGTACTGTTGATATTTGGCTCTACTGACTAATGAGTTTGCCGACCACTGCCCTAGACAATCTAATAACAGTCTTTAAGACTAGGGACTTTGGGTTTTCCCATCTTCAGATCTATACCACATTCCTGCCACCCCACAGTCCTTAGCACATAGAAAGTGCACAAGAAATGAAGAAGTGAGAACGTAAATGGGTAAGGTGGAGGCTCCTGAATCTGAGAAAAGAGGATGGACTCAAACTTACCTCAAGATGTTCCCTGGGGAAGGGATTCCTGCAGCCTCTAAACCAGCAACTTGATTCCAAAAGCATGATGCACAAAGCAGAACCCAGGAATCCTGGGTCCCAAGCAGCCCATATTGTAGGAACGACTCACGGGTTTCCCAGTCAATTCAACTGTGAGTTGTTCTTAAGAGGACCAAGTAGATTCCAGGGTCACGGGAAACTATGCAGTACTTACCTCATTGACTATGTAATCCAATAACTCAAAAATTGCCATGGGCGGTCGGCTGTCCATTCCATAAGCTACAGATTTTATAAAAAGAAAGAAAACGCTTTTCAGAAACAGAAGGGAGGTTATTAGCCAGTAAGAGGAGAGGTGTTGGTCTTGGAACCCGGGGACCAGAACAGGGTAGTGGACGGTAAAGAGTCAGAACAGCCACGGATCAGGCCTGAACACACAGGGAGCAGCAAAGGTCACAGAGCCAGGCCAGCCATGGTATGAGTCTGGGCTCTGCCACAACGAAGGTTTCTTACTTTGGGCAAATCAACTGTCACTGAGCCTTGTTTTGAATTTTGAATAATATTTATGTCTGCCCTTCCTCATATTGAGAGAGGAGCAAATGAGATAATACTAAACAACTAAAAAACTTAGTTTTAATTCTTCCTGAAAAAATTTTTTTTCTTTTATATTCCTGAGTCAAAGACCAGCCTGAGGAGCGGCAGCTACCAGCCTCTCAATGCTTCTCCCTTCATACATGCCCTCTCCCATGTGGGCCTTATGAGGATAAAGACCAGGTCTCCCTGGTCAGACAGGAAGTCCTAGCAGGACCTATATTGGAAGATGGGTGGGCCAGCTTTACTTCACACTATTCCGGTTCAAAGAGGCAGGCAGTGCTGCACAGAGCTCACCACCTCAGAGTCAGAACTGGCCAATCCCAAGTGTGTGTGGCCTTTGCAAGTCAAGGGCTCTGTCCTCAGTTTCCTTATATCTAAAATAGAGATTATTTAGTGCTCACACACAACTGTTATTAAAGTTAGACAATGGTAGGTAAATCCATGGAGACAGAAAATAGATTGCTGGGGATGAGGTGGGGGGAGTTGGGAGTGAATGCTAATGGAGATGAGATTTCTTTTTGTAGTGACAGAAATGTCCTGGAATTACACAGTGGAAATAATGGCACTACATGGAGGAATATACTAAATACCACTGAACTGAACACTTTAAAATGTGTGTTTTATGTTATATGAATTTTATCTCAGCAAAATAATCATGTCAGGATTTTTAAAAATTAAAAGTGCAGTGCTGGGAACATAGCAGCACTCAATAAATGGTATGAAGTTGCTGGTTATAACAGTCATTTCCTACACTAACCTGGAGACTTCTGCCCTGCTTCCCACGCCCCAGCCTGGCATCCTGAGACAGGGAACTGGCCCTCCAGAAATGCCCAACAGTAAGGAACCCCCACGCTCCAAGCTGGAGCACACCATGCCACTCACAGCTAAGGGGCCTCCCCGGGGTCCGTGGCCGGGCTGGTGTCTCAGCCGCATCGCCCTCCACCTGGCACCCAAACATCAGCTCCAGCTCCTTGGCATCTGGAGGAGGGATGGGATACCGCCCAACCGCCATCTCCACCAGAGAGAGCCCCATGCTCCAGATGTCCGACTGCACCGAGTAATGAGTCCCCTGGAGTCTCTCCGGCTGCAGGGGAGACAGAAACCGTTACAAACACCAGTGAGCCAGCCTGGGCCCACGCAGAAGAGAGGACTTTCTGCCCCTGTGAGACCTGCCTGCACTGCAGGAGAGTGGGCTTCCCCCTGGGGCTGCTGATACATTTCATTTTCTTTTGCCCTGTTAATACCTCCCCTGACCTACTGACTTTGGCCTTCTGCCTGTCCCCAAATACTGTGCTCACCAAGTCCTAGCCAGCTCTCATGGCTCTGACCCCTCCTCATTCTCTGTCTCCCCTGTAACCTGCTCAGAACCGCATCCAGCCCAGCTGTGGTTCCAGCGCTGCCCAGCCTGGCCACTGTCTTGCATGGATGGGCACTCTGTCCAGCATGAGAGGCTCACCTTGCTACCTGAGTCTGAATCATGAAGCTTCTAGAACCTGGGTCATGAATGAGATGGTGCACTGAGTAGAAAGAAGTTCGAAGCCGATTTTTATTTTTAAATAAACTAATCATTTGGAAAAAGAAAAAAAAAAAAAGCAGAAGTAGTTCAAAGCCCAGCTCTACTAATGACTCATTGCTTTTGGAATGGCAGAAAAGCAAAAACGATCTGTGTTCAGAAGACGTGGGTTCAAATCCCACTCTAGGACTTCTGAGCTACATGATCCTGAGCCTCCATTTCCACATCTATAAAATGGGGGCCGGCGATGATGGTAACAACAGTAATATAAAATATGCGCTCAACTTACTAGGGTGATCAGGGAGTTCAAAGGCAAACGAAAATACATGTATATTGCAAAATGTTGTATGAGTTGTTACTAGTGGGAAGAAGCAAAGAAAAAGAATATAGTGCTATATAAAAGCATTATTTGAAATAGCACAGGTATTTCAAAAACTATATAAAAATCCTTATTCTGACCATCATACAGTTTTGTTTTTTTTAAGATTTTTAAAATTGATTTTTAGAGAGAGGGAGAGAAAAAAAAAACATCGATGTGAGAGTGGAGCATCGATCAGCTTCCTCCTGCATGCCCCCTTTCGGGGATCAAGCCCGAAACCCAAGCAGGTGCCCTGACTGGGAATTTGACGGGCAGCCTTTCAGTGCACTGGACGACGCCCAACCAACTGAACCACACCAGCCAAAGCCATCATACATTTATTTAGACAATAAATTAACTTCTCCCGTAGGATGTTCCCCTAACTCTAACACTGGACTATTTTGGAACTGACCACATAGCCACAAAAACCCAAACCACTAAACAAACCCCTGGATCAGCAAGTCCCAGGACCTGCTAATTAATTTTGAATTTGAGAGCTGGCAGTTGAGTGGCCCAGTTTTCAGACACGAAAAGACTAAGCAATGAGGGGATGGCAGGGAAAGAGAGCTCTTGGGTTTCCTGTTTGAGACTGTGGGTCACTGGAGCGGAGGGTGGAGGTGTGGGCCAGCACTGGTTGAGTGATGTCGGCAATGACTGGAGTTGTGGTGGGGAAGAAGGCAGGCGAGAAGAAATGAAGATGTGAACATGATCTTCCACACAGGGAGGCCAGGAGCAGCTTAAAAATCCTACCTAAGATGCAAGTGAGGGAATGGGTGCAAAGGGAGACTGACTGGCAAGAAAGAGATCTAGCTTTCAATCCTGGGTCGGCAAGGTAAAGCAAGCAGGTCACTCAACCTCCTCAATCTATATTTCCTCATCTTTAAAATGGGAAGAATCATATGGATCAAATGAGATCACTCAAAGTTGTGAAAGTGCTTGAAAGATAACTCATTGAACACTCTCTGTTCAAAGATGCCTGAGCCTGTGCCTGGCCCCTCCAATCCAGCCCTGCACTCATGTTCACCTACCACCTACTCTAATGCTCCTCTACTCTGCTCCACTCAGCACTCATCCAGGCAAGCTTCCCCCTCTCTGAATCATCCTAAGGAGCGTGCTAGCCACTTCCCACCCATGCAGTCAACCAAACATTCACCCACTCACCAACCATCCCCTCAGCACCCACCCTGTGCCAGGCCCTGAGCCAGAGCCTGGGGATAACACAGACACCTACAGTCTTATCCTTGCCCAAGAGCTTGCTGTTTGGAGGAGGGAGGAGAACAGCTGGTGCTGCCACGGTCGTGGGCACAGCCTGACCCAGAGCTCTGGTGGCAGTGGGAACTGTGGAGTTGGAAACAGAAGGGAAGACCTTCATGACCAGGCCCACTACCCCAATTATGCTCAAGGCCTATGAAAGCCTAAGACCATCCATCTCCCTGTCAGACTGAAATCTCCTCAGAAAGGGACCACCATAATGCTTCACCACTCATTTCCCCCAAATACCTCCATCACCGGGTTCTGGCTCCACAGGAAGGCACCCACTTAGTTCCTATCCCTGACCAGACCAGAAGCTCAAGAAATGGAACCCATTGCTCATACCGACATGTAGGACCTTGTGCCTACAAAGGAGTTGGCCATGGAGTCGATGAGCTGCCCGCTGACTCCAAAGTCACAGAGCTTGATCTCCCCACGGGAGTTCACTAGGATGTTAGAAGGCTTGACATCTGCAGGGAAGAGAAAATGGAAAAGTAGGCAATTGCCCTGACCAGTGTGGCTCAGTTGGTTGAGTGTCATCCTGTACACCAAAAGATCACCAGTTCAATTCCCAGACAGGGCACATGCTCAAGATGCAGGTTCAGTCCCCTGTCCGGGTGCACACGGGAGACAACCCATCAATGTTTCTCGCATTGATGATTCTCTCTCTCTCTCTCCCTTCTTCTCTCTCTAAAATAAAAAAAACATACATTTTTTTAAAAAGTAGAAAAGTAGGGAATTGATATAGCTAGGTGGGGAGAAGAAGAGGCAGCATTCCATAGACAGACCAGCCCTGATGGTGAGTCTCAGAACATACCCTGCCCCCATCACTGAGTCAGCCTTCAGACTACAAACACCTGATACCAAGACCTTCTATTCCCCCTTGCTCAGGACTCAAGGAAAGACTGTCAGGAGAGGACAAGCTGCTATAGAAGCGGGACAGAAAGACAATAAATTTCAACTCTTTGAGAATCCAAACTTGACCAGATGACCCACAAGAAAGAAGTCAGTCACCATGAATAATCAAGATTTCAAAGTCTGTTGCTTCAAATGTCCCTTTCAGTAGAACATGTGGGTTTTAGGAATATGTGCGGCAGTGGTTAGGAGCTGTCATGATTCTTTCGCTAAAGTCATTTCCCTAACAGCTTACACAGTGGTGTCTACCTGCTAGTTAAGGAGAGCTGGGAAACTACAATGGCCTGGAAAACTGCTCCTCACTGTGGTCAAGGTAGGGCCCCCCGGACCAACCCCAACCCTCTTCTCTGCACACAGACCTTCCCACTTCCGCCCTCACTGCCCTGGGCACCACTGCTAGTGCACTGGCCCTTCCCTTTGCAGAGAGTAAACTTCCAAATGTTTTCCTCCACCATCTCCTCTAATTCAAACAGCTAGCCTGTAAAGTGGGCAGACCAGGGCCAAGTATTACCCTCATTTACAGGTAGGAAGCTGAGGCTGGAAGTTCGTAAATGTCCCTAGGCGAGGACTTTGTGGGCAGACATCAGCAAACATGAGACCCACTCAAGAGCAGGCCACATCCAGGGACAAAGTCATAAACCATGTCAGGGAATCTTTGTCAGAAGTAATACAGACACTATATAGAACATCAGAGAAATCAGGTTAAAAACCAAATCCCCATAATTCCAACCTATCCGAACTGCTATTAATACTTTATTTTTCCCTTTAACACTCTCATATGACTGTATTTATTTTTAAACAGATTCTAACAGCTCTATTTAAGTATTTTTCCAAGAATAAATTGGGGGGGGGGGGAAGATCACCCTTTCATATCCCAGTAAATCTTTTCCCTAGCCCACCCCCACCATCTTCAGCTCAGGTGGGGTCATAACCAGCACCTAACCAACACTAGCCCCTCTCCACCTATCATCATCAGCTCCGAGAGAGAGGAATGCTGGCCGTCTGCCTCACCACTGTAACCCCAGAGTCAGGACAAGACTCTGACTCACACCAGGTGCTCCAAAACACAGTGAATGGGATATCTAAAATCTCAGTGTACCAGCGCACACACTCCAAGCCATCTGAGCAGATTTTCTAAGACCCAGCCTTCATAATGTCACAGGACACAAGACCTTTCCAAACTCCTCTGCAACCCTGTGGCTCCTACATATAGACTTTCAGAATGTAAGCATCAGAGTGGCCTTAGAGAGCACCTGCTCCTCCCCTTCATGGTGGCGATGAAATGTCTAAGGCCCAAAGGAGCCCGGGGGCTTGGCTGAGGTCACACAGCTAAAAACTGAATGAATTTGGAATCATAACCCAGACCTGATACCCAGACCTGTCCTCTTCCCACCTACCTTGCAGCCACATTACTCAACTGTTCCACTTATTCACCTACACTCACTGAGCACCCACTACACGCCAGACACCATGGATGTATCAGGAAGTCAAGAGCGAGCAAACTGATCACGTCTAGTGTAAAATGAAGTATACATTGCAGTGTAAACTTGAAGAAACAAACTGACAAACCAATGTAACGTCAGGTACATTGAAGAAAAAAATAACAAAAACATGAAAAAGCAGACCACGGAAGACAGGGCAATGAGGGAAAGTCTGGCTGTGGAGATAATCCTGGACAACCACCTGGATGCAGTGAGGGACTTGTGTGACCTCCTGGGGAATTACTTCAAGCACAAGGGGAGGTTCTAAGCTTTAGGAGGTCAGGGAATAACTTTTCTTTTGTGTGTTTCCCCCCCCCCCAGGTCTAACGTTAGGACAAGCCCAGATAAACGCTTACAACCGAGGAGGTCCTCCCCTCCCTCCATAGTATTGTCGCCCTTCTCCAACAGATGTGGACGGAAGGGGCCACATGCTAACCTGACAAGCTCAGGGAAGGCCTGCATGGCGGTCTGGTCTTACAAACTCAGAGACCTAAAGTGACCATAAAGGATGGCCTGAAATTAAACTTTAAGTAACAGCAGTTATGATGGATAATAACATCCTAGGCTGGTGTCTTCACTGACAAGGTCAACCTTTACCTTAACTGAGCCTATCTGTCTTTTTGTATCTATAATAACATACCCTTAAAATGTCTGGGTAACTTGTAACTTCCCTTTTTCTGGACCTCTTTGAGGTACAACCCAACATGCCTGGGCACACCAGGGCAGATACCACAAATTCTTTCATTGTTATATTAATTGTTCTTGCACCCCCTAAGTATGTGTCTATCATTTTACTTTTATCCAATCCCAGGGGCTTCCCCACTTCGCTTTATCTCACCTCTCTGGTCTATCACAAATGGATTTCATGTAACCCACCTACGTCCCTTCCTTTGATTACAATCCTATATAGTACAAGGCTAATATGCAAATCGACTGAACAGCGGAACTACCAGTCACTATGACACCCACTGATCACCAAGGGGGAAGCTGCTCAACAAGAAGCTGCCCCCTGGTGGTCAGTGCGCTCCCACAGGGGGAGAGCTGCTCAGCCAGAAGCCGGGCTCCGGCTGGTGAGCGCAGTAGCGGTGGTGGAGCCTCTCCCGCCTCTGCGGCAGCGCGAAGGATGTCTGACTGACGGCTTAGGCCTGCTCTCCAGGGGGCCCCCAAACTGTGAGAGGGCGCAGGCCGGACTGAGGAACCCCCGACTCCGGTGCACAAATTTCATGCACCAGGCCTTTAGTGTATAAATATAGATGTAATCCGCCATTCTCCAGAGCATTATTATCTCAATTCGTTGAGGTTCTGCTTCCCGGCATATGTTGACAGTTTGGCTCAAATAAACTCACAAAAATTCTTTACAGGTTTGAATGTTTTTATGTTAACACAGAGGATGATGACTGACTCCTAGAAGTCAGTGTTCAGTGTGTGGAGGGTGGCGCTGGGTACCTAGACAGAGCTGGAAGAGCAAGGCATGTGAGATACTTGCTGAGGCCCTGCGGGGAGAGCAAGTGGGAAGCATGCCAATATGGGCCTCTCCACTCCCACTGAGTGCCACAGCCCTTGATCTGGACCCGCCCTCAGCTCCCTCACCTTCCAAATACTCCATGGCATATTTAGGAATGGCCTACTAGGCCTTGTTTTAAAGCATAAGAGCAGCCACGAGCCATGGCTAAGGAGACAAGACACCTGTATGCAAAGCCTGTCCCTGCCACCTAGCATACATGCGAACTTGAGTAAGTCACTTCATTCACTTCACTAGTCTGTGATTTGCTCATCAGTAAAGTGCAATCACAGCTCTTGCCACCTCACCAGATGTTCAGTCGATTTGCATATTAGCCTTGTATTATATAGGATTGCAATCAAAGGAAGGGACGTAGGTAGGTTACATGAAATCCATTTGTGATAGACCAGAGAGGTGAGATAAAGCCACAACCTAACAAGGTGTGGGCATTTAAAATGCTACAGGAACACAAAGAATGATTCTTTCACAGGTTGCCCTCCAAGACAAGACAGCCCCAGACTGCTCCCATCCCCCAGGGCCCAGGACTCCTTCCTCTGCTGCTCAGACACTTCCCTCCAGGCTGTCGCTGCTGCTCAGGAGTGACTGCACTGCCACTGTAGCTGAAGCTGGCCTTCTGTCTGATTTCTATTCACATGGCAAGCAAGCCTCCTTTTTTTCAAACTTATGTAACACATTTTCCTCTATCCCTGGCTGTCAACAACACTTTCCCCCACTTGCCCCAGGGAACAGCACTGCTTGGGAGGCTGCAAAGAACCCTGATGAGGGTAGAGTCAGAAAGGAGCAGAGGGAAGTCTTGAGGGGCGTTTTCCTGCTTGGACCACATCTGTCCTAGGAGCCAGCTGCACTACACCTGGCCCCTCCTGGTGACCCGGAAGCCTGACAAGAAGGTGCATGGAGACCGGGGCACACTAAATCCCTCAACTCTAGAGCATGTGGCTGGAGCATCCAAGCTGGAGCAAACTCCTCCCTGGCAGCCCCAGCCAAATGGGGCTCTTCTCTGAAGGCACAAAAGAGGTACATATCAGACAAGATCACAGAGAGAGAGTTCCCTCCAACTGTCACCATCCACATTTGCTCCTCGTATCTTCCCCCTCCAGCAGGACAGCACCTGCAGATGCTCCTGTCTGCCTTAGAGTACAGTCCAAGCCCTTCGGCCTGCCTTTCCAAGCCTTTCATTATCCCTCTTACTTCTCCACATCTCATGTCCATCTCCTCTCGGCTCAGGCTTGCCTGCCTCTCTAACTGTGCTGTTTTTTACTGGCACCTGCATCTGAAGCATAGTAACCTCCATCTTGTATAAAAACTGCTATTTGAAATTTTAACCCTGCTATTTTGGCTTCTGTAAACACTGGCTTGCTTAAATATTAGGGAAAATAAGACTACTCCCATTCCAGAGAGGCCATGAACCATGTCCCAGACGGAGTTGTTGGTGCTGGCACCAGACCATATGGTCTCATGGCTCCTTCCCAGCATGCAGTGCTTCTTTCTCAGAAGGTCCAGAAGTCTCATTCCAAATTTGGAAGACAAAGGACTAAAGAAAGTATAAATAGAA